AAAGATATTTTGCGATCGCTCGCCACTTGTTTTCGTAATGTTTGTATTTCCGCACGTTTGTGTTTCTATTTTTGTACTTGTCACGGGTGATATTTTCGTATCCCGTAAAAAAAAAAAGCACGAGTAACGCTGAAAATTTCTACAATATATACAGACTGACTATTCAACATGACGTATATCGTGACGTCAGTTCAATCAATCAGTTTGTTCTCCAAACGCAATGTCATCTCGCTCGATGATCATGAAAAGTCGATAAGTTCGAAAATTCAAGTTCGACGATTTCAATTATTTCATGTTGAGCAATTTGATGAAAAATTCAATTTTTCAAATTCAACAGTATCATTTAAAAAATTTCAATTATTCAAGTATTTAAGTTCGACAATTTCAATTGATAAATTTCTATTATTTCAAGTCAAATAATTTCGATTAAAAATTCAATTGTTCAAGTTCGAAATATCCATTGTTCAAATTCAACAGTTTCATTTTAAAAATTTCAATTATTCAAGTATTTAAATTCGGCCATTTCAATTGAGAAATTTCTATTATTTCAAGTCGAGCAATTTCAATTCAAAATTTAATTGTTCAAATTCGAAAATTCAATTCAAAGTTCACATTCAACAGTTTCATTAAAAAATTTCAATTATTCAAGTTCAACAATTCAATTATTCAATTTAATTCAATTATATTTAAATTAAGTGTTCATTAGAGATGGAAGAAAAGTAGTCAAATGGTGCATAAAAATAATAATTATATTTTGAAAAAAAGAAGAAAAGATGTGATAGAAAATTTAATTTTTTTAGATAACCGCAGTTTGATTAATGCAATTTTTAAATATTTAATAGAGATGAAAATATACATATACATGAAAAGTCGATATGTCGTCGTCGCGGCCGTCGCGGAGATTTCACGAGAAAGGAAGCAAAAAGAACATATGTGTGCTCCTCTCCACGCGAGCAAGGTGCGTGGAAAGAAGCAGGGGTAAAAGAAGGAGAGAGGCAGAAGAAACGCGCGGGCGAAGAAGGAACATTCGCCTGCGGCTAGCAACCGAAAAGGCAAAACTCCTGGCGAACACGAACTGGTTTTTTCGGGGATATCGCGGTTACCTGTCGTTGGCGAAAACGACGACGAAGACGACAACACAGGCAGTGGTGGTGCAGCTAATTTTTTTTCTCTTTCGAGAGAGAAGAGAAAAAATTATTTTTTCCCAAAAGTGTTATACGAAGAAAATGCGCGACAGCGAAACAGCATTTGCCGACGAAAATTATAACTGTACAGTCACTATAAGAGGATGAGTTTGCTTAAATCTCAGCGGATATTAATCTTTTAGATTTTGCTACAGAGAGAAAGATTTATTATAAATGATAATAAAATATAAAAACTAAGAACTATAAAAATATAAAATATATTCATAATATAATTTAAAATATAAATATATATTTATATACATTAAAAATTACCCTTTTATACTTTATGTTACAAATTTTAAGTGATAATTCTTTTTAGCTGAAATGTCACATAACACAAAATATGTATCTGCTGATGCAAAAAAAACAAGTTGAACAAGCTCAATTCAAAACTTTCAATTATTCAAGAATTCAAGTTCGACAATTTTAATTATTTCAAGCAGAGCAATTTCGATTAAACATTCAATTATTCAAGTTCAAAAATTCAATTGTTCAAATTTTACAATTTCATTTAAAAAATTTCAATTATTAAATATTTAAGTTCGATGATTTCAATTATTTCAAGTCGAGCAATTTCGATTCAAATTCAATTGTTCAAGTTCGAAAATTCAATTGTTCATATTCAACAGTTTCATTAAAAAATTTCAATTATTTAAGTTCAACAATTCAATTACTCAGTTCAATTATATTTAAATTGTGTTCGTTAGAGATAGAAGAAGAGTAGTCGAATATGGTTTAAGAGAATAATTATTCTTTGAAAAAAAGAAGAAAAATATATGCAATAAAAAAATTCCATTTTTTCTTAAGATGACAGCAGTGAGATTAAAGTAATTTTTCAATATTTAATAGAAATGAAGATATATGCGGATAAAGCATTTAATGAATAATTTAATGCAAGAAGGTGATAAATACATGACCAGCATTTATTGCAAAAAAAATCACATTAGTGATGAAATAACGAAACCGCTTAAGGCGAAAAATGAAGATGTCGATAGATATAAGATATAATAGATATATATGAATGAACAGGTGCATGATCCTGCACAAGAGAGAGGGTAGTAAAATACCTCGAAGGAAATTCTTGCTATTAGCCATCTGAAACCAGTCGAGTTTAATAATCTCGATCGACATAAGGAACTTCCGTAATTCTTAACTCTCGTGATATGTAACCACGTGAACATACGGAAAAAAAGATAACGACAAGAAAATGTTTATTTAATAGAGACACAAAAATAAAAGGTCACCCTAATCTCGAACTAAGCGATAACAGAATTTGTCTGATTTGTCAGAATCTGTCATTTGCGCGATGAGATTAATTATGAATTAACAAAAGTATCTGACATCCTGACGGATGAGAGACAAAAGAACCTTGAAATTCGATAATTCTTAGTTTGACTTCTCTTATCAAGGATACGATTACAAATGAATCACGTTCTTCTACTGTTCGTTTGGAAGAAATATTCAGTCTTGAATTATATGTTCGTGAACAAAAATATTAAGTTCTGAATATTTTTATGTCAAACACTATTTTTTTAAATAATTACTCAACAATTCAATTGTTCAATAATTCAAGTCGAAAAATTTCAATTAAAAAAAATTTTAATTATTTAATTACACTTTTCTATGCGGAAAAAATAATAGAAAAAAGGGATCACTCAAAATAAAAAAAAAAACAAATCTAACTTTATAAATATAAACTTCAAATTCAATTTTTAAAACATTGAAATTCATCACAAACATTCTCGCGTATAATTTTTCGCTCAAAAAGAACATTCAATAATTCAAATTCAATTTAAAAAAATCAATGATTTAAGTCTAACAATTTCAATTAAAAATGTCAATCATTCAATTATATACATATATTTTGTATATAGGAAAATAGAATAGCAATTCAAGTTCAATAAAAAAAATCAATTATTCAAGTCTAACAATTTCAATTAAAAAATGTCAATCATTCAATTATATACATATATTTTTATATAGGAAAATAGAATAGCAATTCAAGTTCAATAAAAAAAAATCAATTATTCAAGTCTAACAATTTCAATTAAAAAATGTAAATTATTCAATTATATATATAATTTTTATATAAGAAAATAGAATAGCAATCACACAAAATAAGAAAAAAAATCTAACTGTAAATAAACTTTAAATTAAAAATTTTTCAATTTAATTCTTGAAACATATAACATTGAAATGCATCATGAATATTTTTGGCGTAATTTTTCTCTCAACAAGAAACTGAAGAAAATGAAGAGGACTCGACTACAAAGTCACATCACATGAGAAGCAACACATTAACATTCAGCTTTTATTTTCTAAAAAAAAAAACTATTGTTCTCGAAAATCTCGAATGCGACGCAGAATCACGTTTCGAGAGCAGAGGGGGGCCTCGAAAAAAGAAGAAAAAGCACGCACGAACGCAACGAACAACAGCGTGTTGTTTATGCGTGACGAACGCAAAAGGGAATTTCGCTCGCAGAATGAATGGAAAACGACGACGGGCGGCCATCGGCGCCTTCTACAATTTACTCGACTAAGGTATGCGACTTTGTACGCGAAACGTCACGTATGCAAGTACCTGAGGAGCTTTCGAAAAAAATTCCAGAGTAACCCGACCGCGTTTTTTTTTCTTCAAAACCAAGAGAAAGACATTCGCAAGGTGGAAGCGCGAGGATCGCGAGGTTGGGTCGTCTGGAGAGTCGAGAAGATTGGGAGGGAGGGAGGGAGGGGGAAGAGGAGCGACAAGGACGAACGTACGCGACAGTTAGAAAGAGAGAGAGAGAGAGAGAGAGAGAAAAGAGAAGAGACTCACCCAGAGCTCCGTGCCCCAGCTCATGTTTGCTGGGCCGGGTAAAGCGCGAAATAATGATCCCTGGGACACTTCACATGTAGCGGCGCTCTCCTCAGCCTATATTATATCGCGTCGCACCCACTCGTATATCGTATAAATCCAGGGGTGGAGAGGAGGAACGCGCGCGTTTTATAATCGCACGCACACACAAACACTCGAGGGACGACGTCGCGCGTCGAGAAAAACTCGCTCGCCACGCGCGCACGTATTTTCTCACACGGGATTCGACTTCGACAACATGTCGCCGCTCGCTCCCGTGACCGCCGACTACCTGCCTCTTCGCTTCCGTTGCCACCACTACCGCCCAGGGACACCGAGACTGACCCAGCAGCGCCCGAAAACCGCCCGGAATCGCCGCAAGTGGCGCCCTCTGCCGGCCGCGAGCGGCGAAGCGCCGAGTGATAACGGCGCAGGCGCGAGGCGCCGATGACGTCAGCGCGCACGCGCGAGCGCGGCGCGCGAAGTTCGAATCGGAATGCTCAAAATATACTTATTCGAAAATTATTTGAAATTTTATTATTGTGAGACGATAATTTATGGTTCATTATTTTATTTATTAGAATGTTTTTATTGTAAGAACGATAATTTGATCCTTGTTTTAAAATTCTTAAAGAATGATTTATATACAAACAAATTCAATATAATTTTTTTTGTAATTTGTCAAAAATTTTATTTTATTTAAAAAATTTCAACAAAATTAAATTTTTTAAAAATATATATAATTCATATATTTAATATATTATATAATTTTTATATAATATTAAATATAATAAATGTATATAATATTATATAATTTTTTAAAATATTATATAATTATATATTTAATATTTTTTAATTTTTATATAATATGAAATAACATTTCTTATATATTATAAAATTTTTAATATCATATAATTTAGCACAAAAAATGGGCGAGCGAGAGGGGCATAAATATGATTTAAAATAATCGATTTGACGTTTGCGAACAATATGGCGTAGGGTGACTCGGGTGAGGTATCAAAGGTCGTCGGAATGGATTCGTCGGGAGGATGGATGGATGATTAATCTTTATTCTCAATTTGCTTCATTACCTTCGCACGTTTCGTATGTTCTCAGTCGTGATATACATTCTGCCTTTGAATATATTTTTCGCCGAAGTGAGGGACATGAAGTGCCCACTATGGAGGTTGTGTTATTTATTATCTCTTGATATATAAGTACATATTCTTTTTCTATTAGTAAAATAATGAGTTTCTGTCGACTCTGAGAAAGAGAGGATCTTTCAAGTGCTACTTACATAATGTAATGCATTTACATATAATTGTATTACATTTTAATAATTTTAAGAATTTACAATTCTAAATGTATTTTTGACAATTGGGAAACAAAGTGTCAAATTTGTGAATTCTGAAGACAGTTTATTAATATTTCTTTTCGTCTTTAAAGAGACAAAATTAATACATTAAGCTGAAGGAATTTTAAAATAAATATATTAGTGTGATAGTAATTCTACAGGTACAGTAATTCTACAAGTAAATAAAGAACTGTTTTTATCTTTGACATTTACCTTATTTTGGATTATATATATATATATATATATATATATATATATATATATATAATTTTTATCTTTTTTGAAGGATGAAAAATATTAATAATCCAATTTTGATAATATCGATAAGAATACTCTTTAAAAAAGAATCATTATGATAAAAGATAATAGCAATTTTAGGTTAATAATTTCTTTGTTTCCTGTTTATTAAAAATATGATTATATATGCACAGAAATATATAAATTATATATGTACTTATGAAAATGAGTATTAAATTTATTCTTTTAATATAAATGTATTATCATATTTGATATGCGCTGACAATAAAATATATTTTGAAAATGTAATAATGCAGGAATATAAAAGGTGTCTCAAATTTGTATATTCTGTAGAGAAAGTTTATATTTTTGCATTAAAAACGTTAGAATATAGTAGACTAATTCATAAGTGAACAAAATGTTAATCAGAGAACTGTCATTCTTATGTCTTGATTTATTTTATTCTGGATATTATATCTTTTAATTATTTATTTTTAAGGATGAAAAAGATTAATAACCTAGTTTTATTAATATCAATAAGAATGCTCTCTCTTAAAAAAAAAGAATTATGATGAAAAATTAATTAGTATTTTTAGTTGATTTTCTTTCCTGTTTATAATACTTGAAAACTTATATATGCAGAACAATATAAATTACATACTTATGAAAATGAATATTAAATATTGTTTTATTTTATTATATTTAATGTGCACTAACAATAAAATATATCAATTGCAGGTGGTAGAGTTATTTAATAAGTTCAATGAGAGTCTAGGGTCATACATATTTTCAAGATGGATTGGAAGATTTATAGAAGAATATCAAACGTCAAGAACAATTTTTGTCATCGCCACAACTCTGCTGCTCACTTTCTTAGTTGTATCAATCTTTGTGTTGCGCAAATGGAAGAACAAGGAATTTCTGCCGGAAGTGAAAGAGTTTGTTGGAGTGGGCTCCGGGAAGCCAAGATTCAGGAAGAGAGACAAGGTTCTCTTTTATGGCAGGAAAATGTTGCGCAAAGTGAAGTCCATCGGTGGTCAAGTACATTCTACTGGACAGGGAAAGAAGAGGAGAGCGGTCATGAGATTTGCTCGTCGATTATTACAACTTAAGAAGGAAACCGCTCCGCAACAGCTCAAAGTATGTTTCATACAGTTTAAAACTCTCTAATAAGTATGTTATATAATATAATTTATTAATATACAGTATAATATTATAATATATTATGATATATTATAATTTAATATATTAATAATAAAAATTTTATTTAATCAAATTGTTTAATTTTTAAGGTATTGGAACCACCTGCTGAATATTTGGAAGAAGACTTAGGACCCGGCGAGAGGGTACCGCCAGATGCTCTATATATGTTGCAAAGTATTAGAGTGTTTGGCCATTTTGAAAAACCAGTGTTTCTGAAGTTGTGCAAGTACACGGAAATCATGAATTTACCCGCCGGCAGTACATTGTTTAAAATTGGAGATCCCGATGAGAATTTATTTATAGTACAACAAGGTTTAGTCAATGTATATATTACTGGATCCGATGGCTCTCAAATATCTTTAAAGATAGTGAAAACAGGAGAATCTGTTACCAGTCTTCTTAGTTTCACTGATGTACTTACCGGTCATACAAGTACATACAAAACTGTATCTGCAAGAGCTGTGGAAGATTCTATCGTAGTAAAGTTACCAATGTGCGCATTCCAAGAAGTAAGTTATGTATTTATACAAATATATGTATTTATAATTATATAATTCTTCTCATATTTATATATTATTATATATACATTTATATATTATATAGTATATATTTAAATTACATATTAATTATTATATATATTATTATATATACGTATTTAATATGTAATATATTTATATATTAAGTATATAATATATATTATATATTTATTATGTTTATATAATATAATATCAAAAAGATATACATATATTTTTTGATTTATAAAATATAAATAAATATTGAACGAATTTATATTATATATCGCCAGTGAGAAATTAAATATGAACAGTTAATTTATTGACCAAAACTAGCTTATTTTATTACGTGAAAAAAGTTACAACGTTTCGATCACTGCTTGTGATCCTTTTCAAGTAAACTGAAAAATACATTGTTAAATTGAATTAAAGGAATGCAAACAAAATTTAATTATAAAATCATAAATTCTAACTCACATCAAAGCGGGCGAATTGATGGTAATCGCTCACGTCTCACATTATTCTGTGAAGCGTCTATATTCAAACGGTGTTCAGTTTATAATGATATATCGATAATAAAAAGGTAAAAAGACAAAAAGTCAAGCGAATAAACAAACGCAAAAACAACAACTTAAAGTACAAGCAAGCTATCATATACCGAATTTAAATGCTCTGTCTTTTTGTAAATTAATCGTATTTTTCGTTTTCTTAATATAAAACATTTCCGCCACCTCTCTCTTACGCAATTGTTTTTCTTTGTACAAAATAACAGAATTCTTCCAGTCAAAATCATGGTATTCCGTGAGACGATGATCTGTGATAACAGAATAGTTATCATCTTGAGAGCCATTAATATTTCGTTCATGCTCCTTCATTCTAACATGTAAATGGCATTTTGTTTGTCCGATATAAGACGGTATCACAATCTCTACAGTTAATTTGATAAACCAATTCTGTGTGTTTCTCGTGATTTAGCTTATCTTTCCCAATTCCGATAATGCAATTCAGTTTTTTCGGTATAGTGAAGAGTACCTGGAGACCCAATTTTTCCAAAATGAGACGTATGTTGTCACTAACTTTCTTAACAAACGGAATCAGAACAAAATTACCATCCTTGTATCTCTGCTGTACATCCCTAGTTCTATCTATATTACTATAGATGATTCCATTTAACCGTTTATTAATATAATATTTAATTAAATTAGGAGGATCATCGTCTCACGGAATACCATGATTTTGACTGGAAGAATTCTGTTATTTTGTATAAAGAAAAACAATTGCGTAAGAGAGAGGTGGCGGAAATGTTTTATATTAAGAAAACGAAAAATACGATTAATTTACAAAAAGACACAGAGCATTTAAATTTGGTATATGATAGCTTGCTTGTACTTTAAGTTGTTGTTTTTGCGTGTGTTTATTCGCTTGACTTTTTGTCTTTTTACCTTTTTATTATCGATATGTCATCATAAACTGAACACCGTTTGAATATAGACGCTTCACAGAATAATGTGAGACGTGAGCGATTACCATGAATTCGCCCGCTTTGATGTAAATTAGAATTTATGATTTTATAATTAAGTTTTGTTTGCATTCCTTTAATTCAATTTAACAATGTATTTTTCAGTTTACTTGAAAAGGATCACAAGCAGTGATCGAAACGTTGTAACTTTTTTCACGTAATAAAATAAGCCAGTTTTGGTCAATAAATTAACTGTTCATAAATAAATATATATGTAGTTTTTATTTATATTATTTTTTTATATATATATATATATATATATATATATATATATATATGTGATTATTGACGATGTTACAGGTATTTCAAGATTATCCTGATGCCTTTGTTCGAGTCATCCAAGTCATTATGGTACGTCTGCAGAGAGTCACCTTCACTGCGTTGCACCAATATCTTGGTCTTTCCGCGGAATTAGTCAATCAGGGATCACACAAGAAGAAACAGAGTCCATTCTCCGGCTCGCCAGTACGATCAAGGACCAGAGAGAATTTTGCTTTGCAGAACGAAGGCACTCCTGGTGCATTTCCGATCGGGACGTCGGAGATGCACGATAGCAGTGATTTTTCTCATCGCGACATGCTTAATACAAGTAGTTCTCAGCCTGTGCCGATCCTTGGAAATCGTCGGTGAGAAATTTTTAAAACAATCTTTTTAATCGACATCACAAATAGATTAAGCGAGTTTTATGAATATTTTTGTCTTTATTATTATATATTTAATAATTTTTATTATTATATATTTTAATAATTTTTATTATATATATATTTTATTATACATTTTATTATAGTAATTTTTATTATATATTTAATAATTTTTTGTCATTAATTACACTTATTACTGTTGGCAGAAGAAAAAATAGTGCCGACTCGAAGAATCAGAATTTGAACATGCAATTGAGTCAGAATTTGGCGGACATGGTGCCAGAGTGCGACTCTCACTGGCCAGTTCCGTCTTCATCAGCGTCCCAGCCGGGGTCTCAGCCTCTTCACGGATCGCATACGGAGGCTCTTCATTCGGGAAGTATTTACCACGGTAAAAAGCGATCGTCCAACGAGGGGGCACAGCAACAGCAGCAACAATTGGACGAAGCGCAGCTCGTGCAGATAGCCACCGATGCGTTTGTCCGTGAACTCGGCATAGAGGACGAGACGGTGCTCAAAGACAAAGTGCAGATCAGAGAAGTACCGGCTGGCTTTTATCTAATGAAAGAAGAATCTCACAAGGTTTGTCATTTTGAATTTCAGAGGAAAAGAACTTGATAATTTTGAATTTTGAACTTTATTCCAAGGTTATTTTTCATTTAAAGGTTATTTGAAGGTCAACATAGATTTTTTTTAAATAGAACCACCCTAAGTTTTTTATTAAATAGATTCCTCGGAATATTTAGTATAAAAAGTTATATAAGAGAGTATTGAATTTTAACCAAGGTCATTTTAAAGTTAATAATTTTTTAAAATAAACTTACATTAATTTTTTTTACATAAATCGATTCTGGTAATATTTATGGTTAAAAAGTTACATAAGATTATGATTCCAAAAAGTGAATAATTACAAGATATTTAAATTTGACATAATTTTACATAAATTATCTCGTAAAATATTCATTGTTTGACTTTATCTCAACTTACTTTTATATATTAAATAATGGGAGCAATCGATTAATGTAAAGTACACAGTTAAGAAAAAATATATAACTACTAGTTGCAAAATTACATATTTATGGGTTTTTTATTCTACATAGGACGTCGCACTTGTGTACGTACTTTCGGGTTCGCTGATAGTAAGTCAACGCGTATCGGAGGGTCGGGACGCAGGTCAAGAGGTGCACATGTTCAGCGCTCATCAGGGCGAAATCGTCGGTGGTTTAGCGGTACTGACTGGCGAACCATCCTTTTACACGATCAGAGCGAAGCACCCCAGCCGCATTGCGCTACTCAGCAAATCAACGTTCTTCGCCATCATGCGAGATCAACCTACGGTTGTGCTACACGTGGCGCACACCGTCGTTCGCAGATTAAGTCCGTTTGTCAGACAAGTAAGGAATATCTAAAAAAAAAAAAAAATTTTTTTTTGTTTATAAGAAAACGAAGATTTGAAGAATGAATGCTATTGTTTTTTTTTTATTTTTAATAGGTGGATTTTGCTCTCGACTGGTTGTTTCTCGAAAGCGGTAGGGCCGTTTATAGACAAGGGGATGAATCGGATTCAACGTTCATAGTGTTGAGCGGACGACTGCGATCGGTGATCACTTACAAAAATGGCAAGAAGGAACCGGTAGCGGAATATGGAAAAGGCGACTTGGTAGGAATCGTAGAGATGGTCACGCAAACTCCGAGATCAACGACAGTCATGGCGGTGAGGGATTCCGAATTGGCAAAGCTGCCGGAAGGTTTATTCAACGTGATCAAACTAAGATATCCTATCGTAGTTACGAGATTGATCAATCTTCTCGGTCATCGCATTCTCGGCACTTGGCAGCAACCGCACACAAAAATGGCAACAATGATACTCAGTAAATATCATCATAATATGATAATATATTAGAATCAATCTCTTATTGGTCAAGTTATAATTTATTATCAGGGTTGAGAAGTAACTCGTTACTTGCAACGAAGTTTACAGTTATATTGTTGGTAACTATAACTTAACTTTGTTCCTTTTTTGCATTATAACTTATTGTTAGTTACAACTGTCTAATATTTTATGAATTTTTTAACTGAAAAATCTCCCATAATTTTTATTCTAAGTAGATAATATTAATTATTGTGTTAGAAGAAGTTAATTTATTACAAATTGTTAATTTAATATATTAAATTTTTATTTTAAATTTAAAATAGTTGTAATTTATTGTTTATAAAAAGTAAAATAGCACATAATCAAGTAATGTATAATTTAGTAAAGGTTGAAATACAGAAGATTATTATATTTAAAATATAATATAGAGTCTTTGCAAAATAAGTAACTGAAAAGTAACGATTCGTTACTTTTTGAGTTTATTAGAACTGTAACATGTTATTTTTCAGAGTCTGTAACTGTTATACTGTAATTAGTTATATTTTTTCATTGAAAAAACTGTAACTGTAACTAGATACTTTTACAAAATAACTTTCTCAACCCTGTTTATTATCACATACAATATTATATTTGTACAAATGATCACTTTACATAATATTATTGTAAGTTACACTTACAATAATATATAATAAAATAACTTTGTCAACCCTGTTTATTATCACACAATATTATATTGATACAAATTATCACTTTACATAATATAATATTATTGTAAGTGTAACTTTAAGTGTCATTTTACCCAATATTATTGTAAGTGTAAAACAATCTTATTGCAAGTGTAAATTAACGTTTTTAATGAAGAATTATTATTTTTTGCTAGGCGAGCCGCAGCAACAGTTGATGCCAGACCCGCTCAAGTAAATTTCTCAACTGTTGCCATAGTACCAGTGTCGGATGACGTCCCGTTAACTGCTTTCACTTATGAATTATATCATTCTTTATGTGCCATTGGATCCTGTCTTCGTTTAACGTCGGAAGTCGTAAGAAAGGTGCCCGTATCGCACTCGTTTAATAAATTCCAAATAGTTTCTATATCATTAATTATTAAATCATCAATAAATAAATCGTCATCTGTTCTTTTCTTTTACACAGACTTTAGGTACCACTATTATGGAACCTGCGAACGAATACCGGCTCACTTCCTGGCTCGCGCAACAGGAGGATCAGCACAGAATCTCCTTGTATCAGTGCGATTCGAGTTACACTCTGTGGACCCAGCGATGCGTGAGGCAAGCCGATTGCATTCTTATCGTGGGTCTGGGCGATCGACCGCCCTCGATTGGCCGGACGGAACGTGAAGTGGAACGACTAGTCATGCGAACACAGAAGGAGCTGGTGCTGCTGCACAAGGAGCAGAATGGCCAGCGACCCACCAACACCGTCCAATGGTTGAACATGAGGTCTTGGGTGTCCAGTCACCATCACATCCAGTGCCCCAAACGCATGTTCACCAGAAGATCGCAGTACAGAATTGTAAGCTCAGGCAGTCTCTGCCTCTTTCACTACCTGTGTATAAAATTTCGTTTATTTAGAAATTGGCATTTCTGAAAAAAGTATTTTATAGTAATCTTCTAGAGTTTTAAATATAGCAATATTATAACCTTGAGTAGTATTGTCAAGGTCACATGAAGGTCATGTGGTGATTTAGAGGGGCAGTTTTTGTTTCTCTAAATCATCCCCTTTAAAATTTTGTTTATTTAAAAATATGGCATTACTGAAATGTTTTATACTAAACTTCTAGAGTTTTAAATATAGCAATATTAATACGACCTTGAATAGCGTTGCAAAGGTCATCTTTAATATCTTGGTATCTTTCTCCTTTTCTCGTAGAACGAATTGTATTCGAAGGTCCTCATGTCCGAGCCGAACGTGCACAGCGATTTCAGCAGATTGGCGCGATGGCTAACAGGTACCTCGGTAGGTCTCGTACTAGGTGGAGGCGGCGCGAGGGGCGCCGCCCACGTGGGGATGCTCAAGGCCATCATCGAAGCTGGTATACCCATAGACATGGTCGGCGGCGTTAGTATCGGCGCTTTCATGGGCGCCCTCTGGTGCATGGAAAAGAATATCACCACTACCACGCAAAAGGCCAGGGAATGGTCCAAGGTGAGACAGAAAGCAGGGATTTTTCCACAATTGAATTTAACAAATTAAGATGTAAAACTTAAAAAAAATATTAAATTTAAATTAAACTTGTAAAATTATTATTATTTATCTTCTTTAAAATCCTTAATTAAAAATTAAAATTCTTTTGATTATTGAGATTATTGAATAAATCTCAGGATTTTAGGAAAGACAAATTATAATTTTGCAAATGCGAATTATAATTTTCTAAATGCGAATTGAATATATTTTTTCATAAGTGACTATCCTTGGATCGGAAAAAATGTCTTTGCATTGTATATAAAATGCTGTAATTTTTATTTTATGGGCAGAAAATGACACAATGGTGGCGGCAAATTATGGATTTGACTTATCCGATGACTTCGATGTTCTCCGGTAAAGATTTTAATAAGACTATACAACAGACCTTCGGTGACACATACGTAGAGGACTTGTGGCTTCCGTATTTCACTATAACCACTGACATCACGGACTCCTGTATGCGCACGCATAGACACGGTCTGTACAAATTAACCATTTTTCTTGCATTTTTTTCATTTATCTATAATTCTAAGATATGACCAAAGCTTTTAGTTTTATTTCATTCTCATGTGCTTTTCTATTAATATTTCTTCCATCTGCAAAAACTGTATACAATAATTTTCTTAAATGATTTCAAAGATTGTTTAGAGTGTTATAAATGGAAAAAAATTACAAAAATGTTATTGAAAGCTTGGACATATTGAAAATTATGTACTTGTAGAAAATTCAGGGTGAATCAAAACATAAAGACATATTTTATAGATAAAAATATATATATTTTTATAAATAATTATATATATATATATATACACACATATTTAACAATATATTAAATATATATGTATATACATATATATATATATATATATTTATAAATAAATAATGTCCAAAATCTATTTGCCTTGAATTTTGGATGCTTATCAAAATTATTCCTTCTTGATTCACCAAAAATTTGTTGTGGCATGAGAAGTTTTTTGTTTTAGATATGCATATTAGTGTAGATCATGAGTAGAATCTAAAATCTTTAAACGAACGGGAGTGAGCTTTCCGAAAAACTATATTGTTGACGTACTCTCCGTTTAAAGCCGTTTTTTAAAGAGACACAGAACCGAACAAGGCATATATTTTTGTTTTTACTCGTGCAACAAATATATAAGTTGCAAATTGTAAATTTGACATATATATGCTTCCTGTATACTTATTGCTGGATTATGTATATGATATTGAAGAAATTTGAAATTTCTTAGCCAAATATTCCTACCTAAAATTTTTCAAAATATATTATTTAAATATATCGGTGCAGAGGGTGTCCTATTTTAAATGATCCACGCATATCTCAAAAAATATTAGAGATACGAAAAAATGTTTCCAACAAAAGTTGTTTGGCTTCGAAAAGGACATAAGAGGGTGTTATTGGTTTGACCTTGGATAGTCGTTTGTAGGTCACATAAAGGTCATCTTGAATTTTTAAAACGAAACCCCCCATTTTTTATTACATATTCTTGTAGCTTATCTCGAGAGCTTTCCAAAATCCTATAATAAAGTATTTTTTCATGAAGTACTCTTTGAGTTATAAAGGTTTGAAGCTAACAATTTTTTGACAAAATCTAAAATATTTTGTAAAATATTTCATTTGGTAATCATTTTAATACTGTTTTGCATGGAATAATGAGACCAATGAATTGGTGTAAAAAAACACATAGTTGCTTATAAAAAAAAGTATGCAGCTGCATATTTAATATTACATATTTTTTTAAAACAATTATCTGTTTTCTTTATACCAATTGATTGATCTTATTATATACTGTGCAGAAAAGTATTATGTCAAAAAATTGTTAGCTTCAAACCTTTATAACTCAAAGAGTACTTCATGAAAAAATACTTTATTGTAAGATTTTCGAAAGCTCTTGAGCTCTAAGCTACAAGAATATGTAATAAAAATTAGGGGGTTCCGTTTTAAAAATTTAAGGTAACCTTTATGTGACTGACAAACGACTATCCAAGGTCAAACCAATGACACCATCTTATATCCTCTTCAAAGTCAAACAACTTTTGTTGGGAACATTTTTCATATCTCTAATATTTTTCGAGATTTGCGTGGATTATTTAAAATAGGACATCCTGTATATAATAAATATATATATATAATTAATAATGTAGTTTAAATGTGTATATTATAAATGTATATTATATATTAAAATTCCCAGAATATATTATTAATCTTTTTGACAGGAAAAAATATTCAATATAAATAAAGCATTTGATTTTTGAACAAATAATATTTATCTTGAATATATATTTTTATTAATATTGTTTTTATAATAATTAAATCGACTGGTGATGGCAATCTGAGTTAATAAATTCTGCTCTCAAAGAAATTGAGATTTTTTCATATACATATAATATATAGCCCTAATTGTAATATATGTGAAAAAGCGAAAAAGTTTAATTACGATTAGATTATACGACTTAAGAATACAGGAAGTATTCGAAAAAAATAATGTGTATACGAGTAAACACAGAATATTAAGAGAATAATTGGACGTGTTTAGGATCGCTGTGGCGGTACATTCGGGCCTCGATGTCATTGTCTGGTTATATGCCACCCATGTGTGATCCTGTTGACGGCCATCTCCTGCTCGACGGCGGGTACGTCAATAACCTTCCAGGTAATCTTCAGATTCAGATCGCATCGACGAACATCATGCCTTAATTTGCACGGTTGCAAAAAAATATGCAGGAATTATTTTATTTTAACATTAATTATATCACGTGTCGCACTAAATGTCACGAAGTAATATGAAATTTGTGTAAAGAGCTTCCATAACATAATTAATATAATAATAATAAATAACATATTAATTAATATGTTATTTGTTATTATAATTTAATATAATAATTATTATAATTGAAAACTCTTTACATAACATTTATTATATTGATATGACATTTATATAAATTTCAATGTATTTTACGTTCTTATTACAAATTTAGTTTATTTGACACTGAGCATATGTTTTTGCAACAGAGGACTATGCCCAGTTTTATAGGAGAAAATTGAACAGCAATGAGAGATGGCTAGAATTGTTGGGCATCAAAAGAAGATATTAAAAAGTTCTATTGGGCAGAAGCTTGTAATGAGTACCCAAACTGCGTATAGTCCTTTACTAGTTTTTCCTCAAAATTTAATCATTTACACTGTGATTGTCTAAGCTTAGGAGACCTTTTTTATTTAATTTGACACACCATTGAAAATCTATTAGTGAAATAAAAAAAGAAAATTACGCGTGAAGCTCACTCCCGTTGAGAGAGAAGGTTGCATTTACGAAATTCTGAACAATTAAGTCGGCTCAGGTTTACTATGGAGATATATTCGCGGCAGTATGACTATCGCGGGGGTCTTTCCTCCGATTTGCGATCCCCTTGACGGGCACCTTTTGGTCGACGGGTGCTATGTTAATAACGTACCAGGTATTCTTTCTTATCTTTTTATGTTAATCCTAATCTCTCAATGTGGCTCCTGATACTTTTAGTTAATACGATACAACGTAATGAATTTGTCTAATTTAATCTAATTAAATAAAAATTTAATAATATTAATAATTATTAATATTATTTAATAATTATAATTTTTTTAATAATAATTATTAATATTATTATATATTATTAGTTATATATATATATATATATAAATAATTTATTTTTCGCAATTTTTTTATAGAAACGTATAGCATATGTGAAGTAAAAAAAGGTATCTCTAAAAAAATATAATACATCAAAAAAATTAAATAATTTCGATAAATGAGTTTAAAAAATATTACATCTTTACATTAAAAAAATTAGACTCTGTCGAAGCTTGAATTCAAATAGCAAGTTAATAAATTTCGATTCATACGTTCTCCAATATTTCCGTTCAAGCTGACGAAATGCTGCGACAAGGAGCACATCACATTCTGGCCATCGACGTAGGTTCGCAGGATGACACCGATCTGACGAATTACGGAGACTCGTTGTCCGGTTGGTGGTTACTGTGGAAGCGATGGAATCCGTTCGCCACACCCGTAAAGGTGCCAAATCTACCGGATATCCAATCCAGACTGGCGTACGTGAGTTGTGTACGCCAGTTAGAGGAGGTGAAGACCTCGGATTATTGCGAGTACATCAGGCCGCCGATCGACAAGTACAAGACCCTCCAGTTCGCCAATTTCGACGAGATCAAGGACGTGGGATACCAGCATGGTATTGAAATTTGATTTTTTTAAACAATTAATAGCGATAGAATTAAGTATTTTAAAAGTATAGGTATTCGAACTCTATAATTTCGAACAAAATTATTTTTAATTAGACTCTCTCTATAAGTGCCCCCAAAAATATGAGTATTTTTAAAAACATTCGCATTTGGATCAAGTATGTTCGAATTTTTTATGAGTACTCTTATAAGAAATTTTATGTACGTATACAGCAATTATCAAATAGATTTTGTTAATCTTAGAATTCGAACAGTACTTGTAAAAGATTCGACCCTTTATAATAGAAAGTACTTATAAGTACTATTCCAAGTACTTATAAATATTATTACAAGTACTTATAAGTATTTATAAGTACTTAATGTTATAATAGTACTTATAAGTATTTATAAGTACTTAATTATAATAGTACTTATAAGTATTTATAAGTATTTATAAGTATTTATTTTATAATAGTACTTAATAATCTATCGAAATAACATTTATAAGTATTTAAATACTTATAAATTTTATCTCGCAGGTACTCAATCTAAAACAACCGTTTTACGATTAAATTTGATTACTTCGCAAGTATGTTATATACAATATGTATATAAAAAAATATTAATTTTTTCTCTAAATTTATTCTATGAGTATTAATCTTAGAGAATAAAATTTATTATTGGACTCGGATTTTTCCAGGAAAAACATATTTCGAGGGTCAATCGAAAGCCGGAGTTCTGCCTCGATTCAATGCGGATCGAGAGAATGCGAGAGCCATGAGAGCAAAAAGCCAAGCAGCTAATCAACAATCACCCTCTTCGTATACTTTCACCGATCTCGCGCAGATGGTATGCAAAGTTTCACGCGGTAGCCGATACGTCGATCTCGACATAGATTCGGATTCGGACGAACTGGAGGAGTACGAGGCAGACTTAGAAGAGGATGCGCAAGAAGTAGGATACGCGTCCGAGCCCACTGCCGGAATTTTAGACCAAGTAAGTTTACTTTTCATCATTCTTATCATAATCTCTGCATTAATCTTTCATAAAAGAATCTACTCGATTATCTTATTTATTTTCTGCCTTATCATTTTATTGCATATGAATATACAATAATATATAGTATAAAATTGATTTTTATTAAAAAAATACTTACTTTTTATTTGAAATATGTCTAATAAAATAACAAAAATGTATTAAATATTTCTTTGCGATAATTTATGCATTTAATTTATTTTAATTCATTTTAGAGCCCTGAGGATAATCGCCTAAGGCGAAGAACTGGCGTTTCACTTAGCTTGTCCGATACCGAAGCGGAGTCAGAACTAGAGTATCATCCGACGATCTTTTGAACACTTGTTTATACAATTATTCGCGGATACCATATCTCACACTCTACGTAACTCGCTCAATGAGATAAATTTAGCACAAATCTTTTAAGAACGCGCAAAAATATAAAAAATCAAATTTTCACTGAGCGAACGATTAATCTACATCCAAGTACAAAAATAGTTGCAAAAGATATCATTATCGGGACATCATTCTTGAAAGCTACGTTACAGTACAATATGTGTATATCGAAATGCGTATCCTAATAAGAGATTGATATGATTATTGTTATTATTATCGCTATTAAATATATATTAAATATATAATTCTACGATTTCTAAAAAATGGCTATCTTTTATTATTTCAAGGATCTTTTATCACATGTTATATTGTATATACTGATTTGTCAGAGCTTATATTTCTCACAACAGGATATTTCGCGATGGTTATATAAATTCGTTCATTTATGTATACAAAATATTTATATTTTCCAATTTATCCTTTTTTTTTACAAAAAATATAAATTTATACAAAAATTTATTTTCTGTGCAAAAAGATATTTTATAAACAACATTTTATAGAAATTTACGTCAAGAAAAAGAAAACACAATCTGTCTAAACAAATTTTTTTTTAATTGCACTTCGTTACGTCAAAAATGACTGGTCATTGTCAAGTTAGGATCCAAGATGGTTAACACCGCGCCAATCATATGCAAGGAACCCGTTACGAGTATCTCAATCTTATCGTTCCTGCTCGTTTTCGACGACGCCTGCCTTTTAACGTCGAGGAGGACCTCGGTGACGTTGTTCTTCAGTACCGAATTCTCGCCCCACGACTCGCAATGTTTCTCACAGTTCCTCCTCTGCTCGTCCATCATACCCTGCGAGTAACTCATCGAGTTCATGTCCTCCGTGCCGGGAATCCCGACGCAATTCGGAGCGAAGTAAGCCCTATCGAAACCCAGCGGCTTCAACATCCTCAGCAATTGCAGGGAGTTCCGGTCGCCGCTGGTGTTGAACACCAGAAACTTCCTGGAGGTCTTTCGGCTGGCTCCCTCGAACCACGAGATGCAATTAACGACGCTTTCGACGGTGTGCGCGCCGTCCAGGAAGAAGTCCGCCATGCTGGTCCTCAGGATCTGCATGCGACCCGGCCACTTGCAGCTCTTCACCGCCGCCGCGACCTTGGTCAGATAACCGGCGCGAGACAGGTCGAGCTTCTCGCTCCGAAGATTATCGCGAAAACCATCGAGGATCAACGGTGGCTTCTCGCATCGCCGCTTGATCCACTCTAGGGCCAGGTTGATGGACAGCGAGGCGTTCTGCCGCTGCACGTCGTTGAGACCCGCCGAGGATAAGACGTCGTTCCACTCTGTCCAGGTCGCGGGGACCACTTGCAAATTACGACAGCGTCTCTCCGCGGCTCGCTTCCGCAGGACGCGCATCGCCACTTCTGGCTGCGGCACCGTGAACGCCGCGGCGCGCTCCTTGAAGATCCCGGACTTCTGATGAGCGATCTTCTCCAGGGTATCGCCCAGCAACAGGGTGTGCTCGAGACTCAGGCTGGTCACGCCCACGCAGACCGGATTTCTCACGACGTTGGTGCTGTCCAGCTCGCCGCCGATGCCGACCTCGAGGATCGCCACGTCGACGTTCGCCTTGAGGAACACGTGGAACGAGAGGATCGTGAGGAACTTGAAGTATGTCGGCATGTCGGACTCGCGTTCCCGCTCCCGCTCCAGGCGTTGATAGACGTCCCAGAAGAAGCGGGTGAAGTGAGACTGACTGATGGGCTCGCCGTTCAAGCGGATGCGTTCCCGGACGGAGACCAGGTGCGGCGAGCTGAAGAAGCCGGTGTTGAAGCCATACTGACGCAGAATCGCCTCCGTGAACGCGCAGGTTGAACCCTTGCCCTTGCTACCGGCCACGTGGATGACGGACAAGCTGTCCAGCTGCTCCAGAGTGATGCCAGATCTGTGGAGAGTTGTACAGAGTTAATACGGATTTTAAATTATATGGCAGAGAGGTCTGTTATGTGGTTATATTGATATTGTGACCTTGAAGGGTCCTGCAAAGGTCAACTTTGAAATCTTAAAGAGAACCCCTATTTTTTATTGCGTATTCTTGAAGCTGACGTCAAGGCGTTTTCGAAACACTGGTTACTAGCCCTTTTCATTTGAGATCTTCCTGAATTGAGTCATCAAAATTTAAGTGGGGTTTTCACTTCAGATTTACAATAACTTAATATAGTATATTAAGTGTTTTACAATTTATTGAAGTGTGTAAAAGGTATTACAATTTATTATAACACTTAAATTATAATAACTTAAGATTTCAAAGGACAGGGTCCTTCAAGGTCACGTGAAGGACATATCAATATAATAGCCACGCAATAGAACATTTGATTTTCTAAAACTTTCATCATTTTCCAAGATATTTGACCATTACGGAACTTTTTACCATCACTGTATACACTGTATACGCAGAATCAAATTTTAAAAAATACATGTACACTTAAATTTTGTAAGCTCTTAGATGTAAAAAAAGTAAATAACCTCCTGAATTTAATTATATTTAACATTTTGATGTAACTTCCTTACCGGAGTAAATATTTCTCCATCTCTTTCAATTTCTCAGGATTATTCACATCATGTTTTACAGATTGTAAGTATGCTGCGTTGCTTTGTAAAGTGCATAGCACTTTTATAGCTTCCTGCAAAAGTATAATATACAACATTTAGATATTGAATTTCATTTTTTATATCAATTTAATTCAACTTATGTAAGTTATATATCATAATTTAGTCTTGAATGATATCACTTTGTACGTAACAATTATAACATAAATATATAATATTTTTACTATTATATATACAATATAAACATTCTTATAAGAGATAGAATAACTATTATTATAAAATTTACATATAAAAAAATAATGAATTAAATGATAAAATTATATATATCGAATATTTTAATTCTCAAAAAATTAAAAGTAATCAAGATATAAACTATTTCATTTTCTCAATAATTACCAAAAATATAAAAAAAATATTTAAATTGTAATGACATAAATATCGAGCACGAAGAATTGTTTGAAAAACAATTAAAGTGTACGATTATCAAATATATATATTTACCTCGTAAGATCCAGCAGAATGGACAGAGCGGACCGTAAGTCCATTGTGCGTCATTTTCCTCAATAGAGTAAACATCGGGATCCGGCAATTTCGTAATCATGAGAGCACCGATAAGAAAGGGGAGCTGCTCTCCCCCCCGTTTATTGTTTATCGTTCTGCGTGTCAAAGTGCGAGCACGAATCTCGTAAATAACGCGCGTTGCGAGTGTCGGAGACGATCGTCGAGTATTTCGCGTTCGAACGTCAGTCGAAGTGTCACCTGTCAAAAGTGACGTTCGAACGTCAAAAGACAATTGATCGAGATCAATAATTCTGAAATAATTTCACGTGAATAAATTCCTCGCGCGACGAATAATAATTCCAGGAAGGACCTTAAACTCGATTGTCATGGTGCATAAATATTTATAGATTTACTCCCTTTCATCCCTTCGTTTCTTGCTCGATCCTTAACCTTTTTTGCATCCCACGTGTTTAAAGTTAAAAAAAAAACGTTTAGTTGACACATCTCGAGATTCGATTCTGTGCAGAAAAAATTGGAATTAAAGATTCGGGAAAAATAATAGAACAAATGTTGAGGCGCAAATGAAATATGAGGAAAATTGTTCGTTTAATTTTAATGCGCATGCGTCATAACAATGATTTTCCCGCCAACAAACCTATAACACGTGTTCGTTTGTTTTGATTCCAGTCTTGTCAGAGAATAAACAAGAGTAAAAACAAAAACACTACCCCTACTCCATTCTTGAGAGTTATTTATTTAGTTTAATTCGAGCCTATTCGCTGTTGCCAAATTTTGTGAATCCTAGAAATTTCTTATAAAATAGAAACTCGGCCTAAAAAACTTCAGACACATCAGTTCGGTGTAATTACATTTTTTCATAGTTTTCTTACATCATTTTTTAAAATTCTTCTATTTATCTATCTTTGCAGGTTATTTGTAATTTATGAAAGTGTTTCTTTTTATATAGCTAGACTTTTTGCGATTGTTTTGTTATCTCCTTCCTCTTTCTAATTTCTAAATATATATCTATCTCATTTTATTTTGTTCTAGTTCAATTCGGAAGGACAAATTTTCCAGAAACCTTAAGTGCATTTACTGGGAACTATGATATCCTAAACAGGTTTATTGCTGTTTCTTCATTTATTTATCAGTTAATATATTCTCTCATATAATTTTAAACTTTTTTATTAATTAAATTCAATAACTCTAATTTTAGTAATTTTTTTTTAAAGACATCTCAAAGACATTCAAAATGTCTTGGTCTATTATAAGAGATGATCGTAAGCGACAGGAGGATGAAATGACTGCTCTTTCCAGTATATTCGACGAAAACGAATTCTCCTGCACGAGGAGCAAGCAGATAAGATGTATATTTAACATATTTCCCAAACTTCATAAAAAGTTAGAAGTGAACTTTACCAATCGCTGCTCCAACAATGGATTTCCCAATACAATTGAGAAAATTTCTATCGAGCACCTGCCACCAATCAGATTGCACACTAAACATCCAGCTACATATCCATCTCAAAAGCCACCAAATTTCTGCTTGTCCATCACCTGGTTGACTCCCTGGGAGATATCCTTCATCTGTCAGAAGTTGGACGAGATGTGGGAGAAGAATCAGGGGAGCGAGATACTGTTCCTGTGGCTGGACTTCTTGCAAAATAATCTCTTTAATTTTCTTGGCATACACAATTCCCTAGACGCTTCCTTCATGCACCTAATTCGCACAGGACCAGGTGACTGTATCACATTCAACCTAACACGCTTATCTGATCCCAGAGCCATAAATAGCGCTTTGTGTTTAGATCTCAAACAATTATTAATGTCCTACGACAGAGAGCAGCATATGAAGCAATTCGACAATAACTTTTACACTTGTCACATATGCTGCGAGGAACTCAGGGGATTGCATTGCATAGAATTGAAGAACTGCGGACACGTTTATTGCAGAAGTTGTATAGAGAAATATGTGCGTATTAAAATTAACGAGCACATTAAGATAATAGCCTGCCCGACATTGGACTGCAGTTTCGAAATGCACGATAACGATATCAAAAGTCTCTGTTCTGCGAGCCTGTTTTCGCAACACGAGAAACACGTGTTGCAAAAAACGTTGGACACCATGGATGATATAATTTACTGTCCTAGAAATTCCTGTCAATATCCAATGATCAGGAATCCGAGTGACACTGCACCGATCTGTCCCATTTGCAGCTATTGTTTCTGCGTATACTGCTGTAAGGTAATGGAGAATGTATTATTTCATCCTATAAGTAAGACAAATATTATCAGATATAGTATCATATTTATATATTCAGGATTGAGAGTTATTTTGTAAAAGTATCTAGTTACAGTTACAGTTTTTCCAGTGAAAAAGTATAACTAATTACAATTAATAGTTACCCGACTCTGAAAAACAACATGTTACAGTTATAATAACTCAGAAAATAACGAATCGTTACTTTTTTTCCAATGACTCTATATTATATTTTAAATATAATAATCTGTATTTTAAGCTTTACAAAATTATATATTACATACTTGATTATGTGCTATATTACTTTATAAACAATAAATTACAACTATTTTAAATTTAAAATAAAAATTTAATATATTAAATTAACAATTTGTAATAAATTAACTTCTTCTAACACAATAATTAATATTATCTACTTAGAATAAAAAATTATGGGATTCAGATTTTTTCAGTTAAAAAATTTATAAAATATTAGACAATCGTAACTTTTTGTTAACTAACTATTAAATTAGTTACTATGGTTACCGAAAAAATATAACTGTAATTGTAGCTTTGTTACAAGTAATAAGTTACTTTTCAACCTGCATATATTATATTATTTATGACATAAACAGGCATACCATGGAGCTGCGCTGTGCGAGATAGCGTCGGATGATGTTAAGGAACTCATTAACGACTACAGGAACAGCGATGATAAGAAAAAGAAGCATTTAGAAAAGAAGTACGGCAGGCGACAAATAAAATTGGTCGAAGAGAGTCTTACAACTGAATATTTGCGAGTATGTATTCACAAAGTATTCAGGAATCAACAGAAATTATGGAAATTAATAAGTAGATTAAATCCCAGGTAGCAAGTATACATTATTTTGACATTGTGACATCATTAGACATCAAGATAACGTCAGTTTGCTACTTGGGATAATTAGGAAGACTTAAAGAGCAGTTATTCTATTCTTATAATCAATTGTAATCCCTAGGATAACGCGAAAAATTGCCCCAAGTGCCATTCTCACATCAGCAAGATTGATGGCTGCCACAAAATGGTCTGTAAAATCTGCCAATCTTGTTTCTGTTGGTTGTGCGGTCAGCAAATTACTTCGATAAATGGGTATGATCATTTCACTGACGCCAACAGTCTGTGTTTTGGACGTTTGTTTGAGGATATAACCGATGACAATTACGATAATAATATGGAAATAATGGAGATGGAGAATTTTCAGTTTGAGCTAGATTTCGACTAGGGCTATGGAGAAATTTTGGAAAATTAAGATATATATAATTAGAAAGATAAATCTTTAAATTTATCTAAATACACCTCGAAATATATATACATATATATATACAATAATAATTAAATTTATATATTTATATTATATAAATATATAAATATAATATATATTGATATATAATATATAATTATTATAATTATATAAAATAAATACATTATGTAAGAAAAAAAAAATATATATATTTTTTGTACCTGATATATAATAGGGATAACTATGTAACTTGGAAATAAATATCAATTTTTTTTATATTGCATATTTTTTACTCTATAGTTTATAAAACATTAATATAAAAATATGCTGTGTGTATAATATATATATATATATATATATATATATATATAAATGTGTAATGTATAACAATAACTACTTTAAATAATATCAGACTTTCCGTTATCAAGTTTGATATATTGAAACTCACGTATCTCTTGATTCATGCACTTCAATATTTGCCTCGGTGACTAATTGCTCTGCGACAATAGAAACTGCGGATTCACGTCTTTGTGGATTTGTAAAGTTATCTGGAAGCAATATATTACATAGTGATAGATTCAGAAATAGAAATACTCTTTTGTAATCATAAATAAATGTAAAATGGCATTTTTTTTACTTGTACAGTTCTCGTCACATTTCACAAGCGCTTGTTTGCGATAAAATCGTTGCATATTTAATCGTACAAGTGTAGGACCGAACACCCAGTATCCGAGGCAGCCTCCAATTGTAAGGGCGATCGTGAAGTAAGCATTGTATGTCATAACTGCCATCATCAGAATGTAACCAAGTGTGGTGTGAAGAAACCAGTGTAATACTTGCAGTGTCCATTTTGAGCAGATTGCACTGAAAATATATATTCAATATTAATTCAAAGAAAACACTATTATATACAGCAACTTGCAAAAATATTTAAAAATAGAATAAATAAAATTATAAGAATGATACTAGCGCTAATAATATGATTAATTCTGTAATTATTTAAAATATTATTGCTCAGGGTGTTGAGAAGTAATTCATTATTTGTAACAAAGTTACAATTACAGTTATATTTTTTTGTAACTAGTAACTAATTTAATAGATAGTTTATTTAAAACTTAGGGCTAACAATTTTTTGGATAATTGTTAACTGTAACTAGTTATATTTTTTCATTGAAAAAAACTGTAACTGTGACTAGATATTTTTACAAAATAACTCTCAACCTTGACTATTATTGTTATATTTTATACAAGATGTTAAAGGTGTAATACCATCTTGTATAAGTTCTAAGATTCTTTGATGTCACTCTGGACAGAAGAGAGGAACTTTCGGAGGAGGCTGAGGCCGTTCTAGATACAGACTTGATCCCAAACTCTTGCAAGTGGATCTGAAAGACCTTCATGGCCTCGTACAGTATTGCAAGGGCAGCCAGACCCAGGCAGGTTGCCGCAAGACCCCATACTGTGGTAATATTGTAACCTTGAAACAGGAAGCTTCCCAGATCCACACCGAACCAATACCACATATGCATATCTACAACATCAAATGACGTGTATAAGGAGACAAATGTATTTTTCTTTACAAAAACATACATAATAAGATATATAACATAGAAAAAGATGTTTATTATTTTAATAGAAAATATTAAAAAGAAATTAATAGAAAGAGCTTAATAGAAAAAGAAACATGACTATAATACCGATTACTCAATTACTCCAGTTCTCTCTCGTACGTACTCGACTCATGACGAGCACTCATGACTACTGATAAGCCACGCTCATGCAAACATCTAGCCTTATCTAAAGCTTCATCAGCTTAATTACAAGTCGCAACAGCTGATCAGCTGACGTAGAACGCGCGAACTGTCATCTCAAGATGCGGCGTGCGACTTTTCTTCGTGTCTATACATATTGCATTAATACAAGCAAATGTGAATATCAATCATTTGTTTATGTACATTTTTCCTTAATAATATTTTACGCAATTATACTGAATATTCTGCACAGGTAAACAGTACAACTATTTACGTGAAGGTCGATCGGTTCTTTTAATAGTCGTATAAGTAAATGAACGAATTTGATTGGTCCATCCTTTTGCAGATTCAACAAATCACGGGCGTCCTCAAAGTGATTAAAAAATATATATACACACACACACAATACATACAATACGCTGTTTTCTTCTATCAAAATTTATTCTTGCAGTAACCGGCGTCTGAATCTTTTTTAAATACATGAAACAATTGAAAGACAAACTGAACAATTGAAACTGAATAATAATTGGAAAATTTTATGTTCATAATGATTGGTTAAATAAGCAACTGTTGAGATTCGAGTTACAAAAAATAGCCTAGATCAGTAACAGAAGACTAGTTAATTTTTTAAATTAATTTTTAATTTTTTAAATTTTATATTTCATTTTATTGATAATAAACATGGATCCGATAAGGCACTTGGTCCTTTTTTTCTTTTATATTTTATTCATCACGAAGACAAATGCGGATGTAATAGGTAAAATTTTTGTTTCCTATCATTTTTTCGAAATTTGATGATTTTGATGAACTTTTTGTCAAATTAATTACATATTAAGTGTTGCAAATTGCTTGAGAAAATTTAGAACAGTTTTCAATGTTTAGATATCAAAGATATATAGTTTAGAGCCTTTGACTAGTTTATTTTGTGTCTATATTTTTACTATTCTTTTTTTCTTTTTTATTAAAATTGTGTAGTATGTAAAAATCTTGGAGCAAAAATATTTTTAGAACCCAAGGATGTTGTGATGGTAATATTAAGCCAAAAGGAGGGCTATCATGCAGCTCACGCAGACTTGACGCAAAAACACATCTATGAACAAGCTAGTGCTATGGAAAAAGTATGTTACATAAGTTGAAAATTATTTCTTCATGTTTAGTACTGTTATTTTATATTGATATATTAAACTTCACTTATATATATATTGTGCTATTTTTTGTTACATTTCAGAAGTCGCCAAAAGTTGTATTGTCTCATAAACTTGACATTAAAGGTTCCTGGATGATAACTCCATTGTTAATTTATTTGTCGGATCAATTTCCAAATGCAAAATGGTTCTTCTTTTGTTTGGAAAACACAGTGATTCAGTTAGCAAAGCTGCTAATTGTTCTAGAAAAATTTGATGTGTCTCAGGTAAATTGTTTTTTGTTTGATATATATTGTATATTTTATTTCAAAAACATATTTTATATATCTTGTTTGCACAGAATGTGTGGATCGGACATGCACTTTATGATCATGAACCTACTATTATTCATCATTTTGCGAAGAATAAGAAATTTAAGTATCCGCATGTGGCAGCTGGATTTGCTATGACTTTCAAGTTGTTGAAGAGGTACATTTTCTCACTTTTTATGTTAAATAATTATTATCAAGATATAATAATAATAATAATACATATAAATAATTTTCTATAAAAATACATGAATTAAATAATTCAAAATGACATAAAGAAGTTTTAATTTAGTTAATAAAGTTATGCGAGAAAATTATTTTCCTAAATATATTTTCTTTACTTTACAAAATTGGCTCTAGTGTATCATTTTTCCAAGTATATGATAATTTCTTTACATGATGCATATATTTTATTTTTATTAGAAAGTTAAGAATTTAATGTTTCAGTTTAGCTCGACAAATATCTGCGGATAAGGAACCAAAGATAGATTTTTCCATTGATGCATCCTACGAATTCGCGGACTTTGTTTTAAAGAGTACAAATACAAGATTGACTCATGTATCCAAAATATGCATTGTATCCAGCTCTGATTGTGCTACGTATCCACGCATTTTTTATCAATGTGTATGTATGTCCAATATATGATTTCTTATTTAACGATGATAAGAATTAGTTAAGAGTAGGTTGAGAAAGTTATTTTGTAAAAATATTTATAGTTATAGTTAAAGTTTTTTAAATGAAAAAATAACTAGTTACAGTTAACAGTTACCGACTCTGAAAAATAACATATGTTACAGTTATAATAACTCAAAAAGTAACGAATCGTTACTTTTCAGTTACTTTTTTGTATAATGACTATATTATATTTTAAATATAATAATCTTATGTATTTCAAGCTTTACTAAATTTATATATTACATAATCGATTATGTGCTATAATAATAATAATATATTACTTTATAAACAATAAATTACAACTATTTTAAATTTAAAATAAAAATTTAATATATTAAATTAAATTAATAATTTGTATTAGACGTAACTTTTCGAAAAATTGTTAACCCTAAGTTTTAAATTAAATTAATTATTAGTTATAAAAAAATGCAACTAAGTTATAGATGCAAAAAAAGGAAGTTAAGTTATAGTTATCAAAAAATATAACTGTAACTGTAATTTCGTTACAAGTAACGAGTTATTTCTCAATCCTGACTAAGAGAGAGTAATGCATTCTATTTATTGAAATTTATAACTTATAAAAGTATTTCTCAATGTTTTTACAGAATTCTCCTGCAGTAGATAAGGTGTTTTTTGCCGTTAAGACCTGCGCCAAATATCACACGGATAGAATTCCAGTGATTAAAAATACATGGACCAAGTACAGCATAAATGTCGGATATTTCAGTGATATAGCCGGTATGATCAAAATGAAATTGTGCCTGTTTCTGAAATATATTTATACTTTAATGCAAGTCGTTCTAGTGTATTAAATTGTACTAGTGTAGACCACAACTTACGGGAAGCATACGTCGTAGCGAACACTACTGAAGGACATTGCGCCAAAACTTATGGCATTTTGCAGGCAGCGAGTAATTTGATGAAAAGATACAAATTTGATTGGCTTGTTATCGCCGATGATGATACTATATTCAGGTGAATACAGAGAAGAATTAAAGGTTCTATTTTTAAAGGCCGCTTTTCAAGGTCATTTCAAGGTTATTTATATTTTTTAAATGGCACTACACCATAATTTTTTTATAAGTCAATTCCTTGTAATTTTTGGTATAAAAAAATTATAAGGGTAAGATGGCTAAAAATGAATAGTTTACAAGATATTTTGTATTTAAATTTGCTAATAGTATATAAACTATAAATTATTTATTTTTTGCTTTTTTTATCTCTATAATTTTTTATGTCAAAAAGAAATTGATTTATATAAAAAAATTATAGTATAAATGAAAAGTGCTCTTCAGAAAAAAGTCAATAGTGACTTAGAACCATTATTTTGTTGTATGTATGATCAAAGATAAAAAAGTTTTTGCGGGTTGATAGAAATTGGACATTCTGTATATAAAAGACTAGAATTAGAAAAATATATTCTCATATATAATCGATTACATTACAGCGTAGCACGTTTATTAGGTTTGCTTACGTGCTACAATCCCGAGCACTTAATTGCTATTGGCGAACGCTATGGCTTTCGTATGTGGGACAGTCATCACGGATATCAGTACTTAACCGGCGGCGCGGGGATTGTATTATCAGCTCCTTTGGTCCGCGAAATAATAAAACCGGGCGTATGCGAGTGCCCGTCCGCCACCACTCCCGATGATATGTATCTCTTTGGATTCTGCTTATCCCGACTTGGAGTCGAACTTGTACATTCTTCAATGTTCCACCAGGTATACTTTTGCAATATAATTTTTTTCTAATTAATATTGGCCATCGAATAGTAGATATGTATAAGGTAACAAGGCCAGGCAATTTTTGTGGATAATATATTATTACTATATTTGCAGAGTTGGGTATATGTTAATGATTTTTTTAAAACTAAGTTAAGTTAAAGTTAGTTGCTTATACAATTAATTTAGTTGCACGAACAAAAAATTAATTCAGTTAAAGTTAAGATTAAATTAACTGAAGGTAAATTAAAAGTTAATTTTTTAAAACATTTTAAAATTTTGTTTGTTAATTTTAAAATTTATAATAACAAATAAGAAAGAAATTGTTTTGATATAAAAATATATTTTTTGATAATTACAATTGATGACAAATGCAGAAGATATATTTTTTGATAAATACAATTGATGACAATTGATGAACATAAAAATTAATAGTACTTTAATTTAAAAATAATACGTTTATAACTTATAAAAAGCAATAATAGTATTTAGAGATCGAAAATTTAACTTAGGAAAGAAGTTAATAAGTTTAAGGTCAAAAATGAAGTGAAAAATTAATACAATTTAAATTAACTAACCTAAGTTAAAATTTATTAATTTTTTATTTTTTTAAATTTTTAACTAATTAACTATAGTTATTACCCAACCCTGTATATTTGATATAACATTATTCCAGCTTTTTTTATTGGTTTAGGCACGACCCACGGATTACGCTTACGCTTACCTGGCACTTCAGGAACCTATATCGTTCCACAAATTCTGGATGCTGGATCCTGAAGCTGTATACGATGAATGGTTTGCAGAGGCAGATAGTGATCTACCAAAACCGCCGATGCATGTAGAATTGTAATGTAAAACATTGATACAGAAATATCTAAAATAAATATTTTTCTTATTTTTATACTTTTCGCGTGTTTATATATTTTTAAAAGTGCTTAAATATATTTTGCATTCGCTTTCGTTTAAAAAAGTTGAGAAAAGAGAGGGAGAGAAAGATAAAAAAAAATAGTTGCAATAATTAAAAATTTTTCATATTGTATAATATATAATTTATATAATATGAATATAACTAAATATATTAGTGAACAATTTATTTAACAGTAAAAATATGAAGAAAAAAATTTATAATGTATATATATGTATAAAAATCCGTATAATCTTTTCAAACCATAATCGCGGGGAATATTTATATATTTATATTATAATGAAATATTATTTGTATCATATTATAATTTAGATCGAGATAATTTAGTGTTTAATATTTCCTTCCACCACAGTGGACGTTCCAAGTTTTCTTTGTTTTTGAATAGCCACTCCTTTATGTGTTTGTATACCTGCAAATTAGAAAAAAATCCAAATTATGGAAATGGAAAATAATCAATGTGGAACAATATTATATAGATATATACATTGCCATCGGACATTCCCAGAGGGGAATTGAGCACAAAATCAGGAGGCGCCAGGACATCAACCAGCGCAACCGCGTTGTCTAATAGATCTCTGCACAATGATATAATTCCTTCCCGTAGAAAATCGCCTATCTTACTGTTAGAAGAAGCGTAACCACTGTCATACAAATCTCCCAGTCTTTTTTCCAACGTTGCAGCTCCGAACAAAGAACATAATTTTGTTAGTACCTCTCGTTCGTTCACCTTCCATTTCGGATCTTGCAAACATCTAATGAAGTATAGCATTAGAGCGTGCTGCATAAAGAGAAAAAAAATAAAAATTAGGAAAGAAATTAAACATTGCATTAATTTGCATTTTTTATGATAGTACTATAAATCATGAATTGTAGAATTAATTTAAATAACAAAAAAGCATGTACATTTTTTGTTAATAATTGTGGGGCATCTTATACCAAATCAATGATTTTTTTTCCGACCATTTTTTGAATTTTTAAAAATCGCATTTTTTATATTTTACATTATTTCAATTTAAAAAATGAATATTTACAAAATTAATAAGTATTTATTTTGAAGTTTTCAGGAAAAAATTACAATCCTTAAAAGTTCAAAATGAGTGCCTATTAATTTTTTAAATACTTATATATGTTTTAAATTAGAGTAGTGTAAAGTGTAAAATATCAAGAAGTGCGATTTTTGCAATTTCAAAAAATGGTCTTAAAAAATGAAAAATATTTGAATTCCCTCTGCCAAAAATTTTATTTTCAAGTCTAAAATGTTATAAATTTTTTGTTGAAAAAAAATCGAAGAGATCCAATTGAGAAAAAAATTATTAGTTAAAATTGTTAAAACACTTGAGTCTGATTGAACCAACATCAGGTTGGTTTTAAGTACGACTTAAATATATATTTGTTTTTATTTATTTAAAAAAGATAAAGATAAACACATATTTAAGTTCCACTTAAAGTCAAAATAACGTTGGTGCAATCAGGCCTTAAACACTTAATTAAAAAAAATTTTTTTAAATATTTTTTGATAAATACATTCAAAGACAAAAGTGACCATTTTTTAAATGATAATATTTTTATTTTTTGTCAAGGTATTTAAAATTATTTAAATCAATTTTAAAAAAAATTATATTTTAAAAATCAATAAATATAAAAAAATAAAAGAAGTTACTTTCAGTAAATATAAAAACATAAAAAAGCTGAAGCAAATAAAAAATGATCGGAGAAAAAGTTGTTTGATAGAGAATGTCCTATATATTTTTTTATTTACCTCGCCATATACAAGAGATAAAGTTCGCGCCAAAAACATTTGGGAATTGTTCCTTGTGTCGAAATCAGACACTCCGTTTGATTTGAGATTTTTTACACGCTCATATGTCTTCTTCACATAATAACACACCAACCACTTAAAAGTGAAGAATAAATCTAAAAAAATAGCGAAAAACATATATTAATAATTGCAAAAAGTATAATAATAAGTCGTTTATGCATGATATTGGACAAATAATTTTTAACAGCATAAATTTTGTTACAGTAGTATATATAAAAATTATGTACTCTCAGGGCTCAATGTATCTTCTACTGTAGTTTGATTAAATTTGGCATTCAATATTCGTACAGCGTCAACGAGAAAATCCGCGGAACCAAGAGGAGACGGCACCGATCGTCCATTAATAACATTAGTCCATTGACTTAATAACCAATTGCTTGCTTGTTGGATAAGTATATTGTTCTCACCCTCATATGTGCAATTTGCATCGTTGTCGGCTCTTATGTCGCCCAAACGCGACACTATAATAATAACAAGACGACGAGATGACTATATATGCTATTATTAAAATATATATATAACGAATATCAAGGTTGGGTAAGTTAATGATTTTTTAAAACTAAGTTATGTTAAAGTTAATTGCTTATAAAATTAATTTAGTTGAGTTAAAAGTTCAAAGTTTTTGAACAAAAAATGAACTAACTGTCAATTAAAAAGTTAAGATTAAATTAACTGAAGTTAAATAAAAAGTTAATTTGAAAAAATATTTATATTAAATTAGAATTTTCTTTGTTAATTCTTTTAAAATTTATAATAACAAAGAAATTTTAATTTTTATATAGAAATATATTTTTTGGTAATTACAGGTAATTGATGACAAATGAACATAAAAATTAATAATACTTTAATTTAAAAATAATACGTTTATAACTTATAAAAAAACAATAATAGTTCAGAGATAAAAAAATGTAACTTAGGAAAAAGTTAATAAGTTTAAGATAAAAAATAACTTGAAAAATTAATAGATTTTAAATTAACTAAGCTAAATTAAAAGTTATTAATTTTTTAACATTTTTTAATTTTTAACTCTAATTAACTAGTTATTACCCAACTCTGAGTCTAATATACCAAAAATGGCTTTTTTGCGAAAGATTCAAATACAAAGTTTTGCTGAGATAGCAAATATTCTGCATATGATAATAAAGTCATATAATTATATTCATAATTTGTAATTTAGGGCTATCGATATACATATATAGTATAACTTGTTCGTGATAGATTCCACTAAATAAATGTTTATTTATATAGGCTGTCTCTTACATTTTAATTATTCACTTTGACTTTTTTTAAACAAATGCAGTTTAAAAAGAATGTTTAAGATAAAAGTTGTATGATTTAAAGGGGGACAAATAATGATAAAATCAATTTTGGAAAAATTAATTTTTTTCCTTAAAAAATCTCTTTTAGTAGCATCTCTATATCCATAAGAAACAGTTTATTTAATCTTTCATAATATGACTAAAAGGTAAGCAAGATATTGAAATAAAAAGATGCATTTTATAAGGAATAAACAAAATATACATTCATGATATATTCGATCAGACTTTCTAGATAACATTAATCTTTTTTACAAAAAAAAAATTTTGTATAAAAACATGAATTATTTTAGATATTTGAAATAAGTTATAAATTAAAAGGCCAACTTAACAAGCTGATTAATTAGGTGTTAACAATTTATTCTAAGTCATGAAAATAATACAAATGATAATTAGTAAACGTTTCGACTGTACGACAGTCTTTATCAATACAAATATCGCTTTGCTAACATATCCATAAATCAAATAATTTGGAAAGACCGAACTTATATCATACATGTAAAATATATAGACTTATAATATGAAAAACGCAGTATAACACATTATAATTGTTGGCTTGAATTACGGCTGATCGTTCGAATTAGTCGTTAAAGAGCCTAACCCCGAACATCAGATTTCTATAGTTCTTTTTAAATAAACGTCTAATTTTGTAATTCATAATGTAATAATGATATGTAATGAATTGTGAAATAATTAATGTGTTAGCCTGAATATTGGATATTTGATTTTTAAATAGATAGTGATCACTTACATCTATGTCGAGACGATAAAAATTCTTTAAAATATTTCTTGTTGAAAAACATTATAAACAATGTATACTTTGTAAGAAGCAAATTTAATATATGTAAATTACAATGTCAGGACGCTGTATATATACCGTCATGCTAAGATGACAGACAATTTTTCTAAAATATCAAAATAAGAACCGTTAAGTTGCTCGGTGTTCTTTTTTAAGTTGATACTGTTTTTTTCCTCTTTAATGTATATCATTTCCGATATCAACCTTTTATAATAATTCCTTTCGTGATCCAAGATTTTTGTATTATTTTTAATTAAAAGTATGTGTAAACTTTACAATATGATCAGAAACCACCGAGTGTCTTGCAGGATCCAATCTGATATTATTTTTATGTTTATTTACTCTTGTACCTAATTGTCTTTTAGTTTCCCCTACATATGTTGCATCACAATTATTGCACGATATTTTATATATGACACCCGAATTATTCTGACGATTATCTCTGTCTTTTTGTGTTTTTATGACTCTATTTAATTTTTTCAAACTTCTGTATCCTACTATTATGTTAGATTTCTTTAACTCTGATGCTACTAATTCCGAGATTTTTTCAATGTATGGTATCGCTATAAATTTTTTATTATTGTTATTATTTATGTCATTATTATTTATATTATGAGTCATTTCGGTGTTTAATCTATTAACTATGAGGAACTTCAGTCTTCTATTAATTTCTGGGAAAATGAGATCGAGAGAATAATCATTACTTAATAAAATCTCTATGATTAATGTTAAATTTTTACTATGAAAAATAGGATGTGATAATAGTATTGATCGGTCTACTAGATTATATATGACACTTTTTTTTATGACACATAGGATGATTTGAATAATATGAAAGTGTTCTACCCGAAAATGTTTTTTTCTGAAACCAATCAATGTGAATTATGTTATTTATAATTTTGAGTGAAATGTCCAAAAAACTTATGCAACGGTTGTCCTCTCGTTCTATTGTAAATTTTAGTCAACTAAATATGAGACCTGATCCTCCGGCATGCAAACTAAAATGTCATTCACATAGCGATAGTAAAATCTTACATTTGCATTAATTGTATCAAGTATCGTAGTTTCTAAATCTTGCATGACAATATCTGCTATGATTGGAGATAGAGGCGACCCCATAGGAGTTCCATGAATTTGTTTATAAATAGTATTGTTAAAAGTAAAGAAAGTTGAAGTTAAAATGAACTTAATAGCATTAACAAATTCATTGTTGCAAATTAATGGGTGGTTTTCAATATGCCACCTGTTATTTATGCTGTCTATTGCAAGGTCCAGAGGTACATTCATGAACAACGATATTACATCCAATGATATAATTATTTCATTATTGTTTAATTTAAGATTAGACAATGTGTTACATAATTCAAAACTATTATTCACTTTAACTTCAGTTCAAAAAGAACTACAGAAATCTGATGTTCGGGGTTAGGCTCTTTAACGACTAATTCGAACGATCAGCCGTAATTCAAGCCAACAATTATAATGTGTTATACTGCGTTTTTCATATTATAAGTCTATATATTTTACATGTATGATATAAGTTCGGTCTTTCCAAATTATTTGATTTATGGATATGTTAGCAAAGCGATATTTGTATTGATAAAGACTGTCGTACAGTCGAAACGTTTACTAATTATCATTTGTATTATTTTCATGACTTAGAATAAATTGTTAACACCTAATTAATCAGCTCGTTAAGTTGGCCTTTTAATTTATAACTTATTTTAATTTTACACGAGCCGAATTTTATTTCTCATTATATATATTTAGATATTTGATGTGCTAATGAAATTTGATTCGCAACAACATCGTTTTCAGCAGATTTTGTCTGATTTAAAATAAGTTTTGGCTGTAAACTATAATGTTATTAAAATATATGTACATAATCGTTCGAATATCGTAACTTACTTTTTAAATATCCATGACCAGCGCAAGACTCTCTGCAGTCTTGAATCGCATCGCGAGCAAGCCACGAACACAATGGTTTCGTTGCAGAAGACAACACGTGTATTTCCATTCCTATGTCGGCGCTAAAGTCCGCTCCCGTGAAACGGCTTATGAGAAAATCAAGCATCGTTTTGTAAAATTCGACCGAAAATATTTTCACCGCAAATGTCGCAGCTAAGTGAGGAAAGATTCGCCATTGCTGAAACAACGTTTCACGTCAAAATTAATTGCAATTTTTTGTATATATTTTATCTATATATGCATATTTATACATGACAAAAGAGTTAGATATAATTATATATAATTATATATATAATTATATATAATTATTGTATATAAATATATGTAATATCTTATACTTTGCCATTTACAAGTATACATATTTCTGCACATTTATGTATAATTCTATTCTGCATAAATATATGTATAATTCTGCATAAATACATGTGAAATTTTTTTTCCCGAAATACAAATTAAATTTGAACAAATTAAAAAATTTTGAGGTAATATACATATATGTACTTGTATTTGATATTCTATAACTGGCAGTTCGTCCTCCTTGTTATTCGTTGGACCAAATTGTCTCCTAACTGCACTATAACGTACGGCTATCGTCAAGGCGAGGATCATATAATGAGCACTTATCAAGGTAATACTGCTGCGGGCTGATGATAGTGCGCTTAATGTCGAGCCTGATACAAGTAAAAAAAGTGAAAATTAATTGCAAAAAAATTGTACAGGGTGTTTCTAAAATACTTGGACAAGCTCTTTCTAGGACGCGTCAAAATAAAATAAAAAGTTTCCAAATTTTCTTATCTTAATTTGTCGCAATAACATCGCGTTTGGCTCTTTAGTCGAGATGAATATGATGATTTAAAAATTGGAGAGCCGACTTAAAAATATTCTTATTATAAAATAAAAGGATATACCCTCCTCAAAATAATTAAGAGATAAAAAAATTGTCTAAAAATAGGCAAATTTTTAATAGCTATTACTTTGTTTTGAAAAATGAGAATTTAAATTTTAAAAAAGCGTTTTAAAGCTTGAAATCTCTACTTTTGGAAGATCATAGACCTTTTTTATTTTCTTCAATTCTGATATTTTCTATTTACAGAAAAACGACGAATATAACAAAATGGAAAATTTTCTTCTCACTTTGTAGATTTGTCGCATGCAAAAGAAGATTTGAAAAAAATTTTTTTATATTTTTATGTTATATAAAACCTGAAGTTTTCCCTACAATTTTTTTTTCAAAATTTAAATTTTGATCTTTCCTTATAAAATTATCGAATATATTATATAATTGAATATAATTACGTGCGCAAAGCAAAGTTTTATTATTCTTTGATAATAAAACTTTGAAAATTGCAACAAATGTATAAAATTATTATTGCAATTAATGCATAAAAAAATATATATATTAATTAATTATGCAACATATAAAAATTCAATATTTAAATCTTTAACCAAAAATACGAACGAAAAAATAAAATTTTCTATAAGAATTTTTTGTGATCAAATATCTACTATATATATATATATATATATATTCTAAACTATATATATATTCTAAATATATTTTAAACATTAACACAAATTTAATATTTGTTTCATATCATAAATTAAAAATTAAAAAAAACAGTACTTGATACGATTAAAAATTCCGGCTTTGCTAATTTGTACCCATTTTAAATCGTATCTCTAACAATAAAATTAAAAAGTTATAATAAAAAATGAAAGTTTATTTTTTACAAAAGTTCTCAATCTGCAACAAAACATATCTAAACATAAGAACGTTATATTTATAATCATAAATTTTCTTAAAAATTTAGCAAGAATACTTTTTATATCACACAAAAGTATAAATATAAGTTTATCATTTTTTTCATGTTAATATAAAATGAAGCGCTGTCTGAGTTAACATTCGGGTTAAGGAGTTAATTGCTGATACTCACCATATCTTTTTCGTTCATTCTTCACAGTAAGAACATAATTTCCGTTCTCGCTGATATTCGCCGTACGATTTAACAGGCAGGTACGCGGTATAGAATACTCGTGGAACATTATGAATCCATTGTCTATTCCATTAAGCCCTATCTTTTCGCCCATGTCACCAATGGTAACACCGGGAAAGGGTAAGTGAGTTTTTGGATCGCGAATCGGGACGACGAAAAGATGGAGGCCACGATTCACCGCGTCCGGTGTAATCAGTTGTGCAAATATGATGGCGTGCGTGGCACATTTTCCTGCACATATTCATATATTCATGAAATATATATATATATATATATATATATATATATATATATATCAAGAGTAATGAACAGAAATGTGCAAAATAGGTGTCCAAACCCTATTTTTGGGTTTTGGTCTCCAAAAATAGGTGTCCAAACCCCATTTTTTAGTTTTGGTGTTCAAAAATAGATATCCAAATTCTATTTTGGGGTTTGGTGCCCAAAAATAGGTGTCCAAACTCTATTTTTGAATTTTGGTGTCCAAAAATAGATATCCAAACCCTATTTTCAGGTTTTGGTGTCCAAATCCTATTTTTGGGCTGGAATTATTTTGTATATTTCTGGTAATAAAGTATATTATATACCTTGATTATTAACTTGTAATTAAGCTTAAAACTCACCTAAACCTGCTGACCAGCATTTTGCGGCTTCGAAATCGGATGTATGAAGAATGAAATTTTTTGTTTTTATATCATATGTTGCTGTGGTACGCATGCCTTGCGCATTAGAGCCATGGGAAATTTCAGTTAAAGCAAGACAGCAAATATACTAAGCAATTAATATCTCAATAAATGTTATATACTTTATAATAAATAATTTTAAATATTTCTATATTTTATTCATACGTACATTTCCGTTGTTTAATTCTTCAACGAAATGATGATGTTCGGTGCCTAGCGCTAATATAGAGGTTGTTACCAGGCCGTTTATAACACTTAATTTTAGCGGAACAGATCCGTCATATTGGAAGAGATAAAAATATTTTTCTCGAACATGCACTGGCTAAAAAAAGTATACAAAATTATAAAGTTTGAACGTAAGACAAATATTTTTTTATCATTATTTATTATAAAATATTTTTGTATTTGAATACTAATAAAAATTTATAACAAAGATAATTTATTTATAGCAAAATATTAGAAACAAGTGTTTCTTATAGATTAGGTACTGAAAATCAAATTTCATAACACGTCATGTTACTAAAATACTTGAGGTTTAATAAATAAAAATTGTATATTAGCTAACAAGTGCGGGAGATCGTGCGGATATTGTCACACTCGGCTTCGCCTCGTGCGCCAAACTTCGCCGCACTCTCGACCGATTTATGACCCGCACATGTTGGCTACGATATTTTGTGTGACCGGTGCGTAGAAAGGGAGCTCTTTCTAAAATCTCATTATATGCGTAAAGGGCGACTTTCCGCGCGCCGGTTGCACAAAATAATTTTTTTTGTTATATTTAAGATTTTTTTTGTAAAAAAAGTTAATCTTATTTAGCAAGTCTGATAAATATCACACACACACACATATACATGTATATATATATATTGTTCATCTCCTGCTACAAGATGTATTTTTTTATTTTAATATCTTATTTTATAGGAGATGAACGTGACATTGTGATCAGAATTTTTATTAGATCATGTTGATCTTTTTACAAAAAAATCTCATATATTGCAAAAAAGCGATTTTTGAATATTGAACTTCAATTATTTCGGAAATCTGATGTGTTGGTGAAAATTGGTTTGCATTTTTAGCATCCAAAAGTCTATAAGAATCATCTCGTTTGATTTACAATAATAAAAAAAGTTTTGTAAACTAGTATAATTATTATGTTGTAACTTTCTATAGTGTGATATTATAATTGTTAGATAATTATTTATTATACAATTAATCAAATAATTACATTTATGTTATTGTCACGAAGTGCGTTCAACTGAGCATTGCATCGCCTTCGAGTTTCATCCAAGCTTATTGAGCCTATTGGTCTTTCAAATGCTGGATTGGTTCTGATAAATTCCCATAATTTTTTCTAAACATTTAATTATTTACGATATATATATATATATACATTCTTCAAAATATAATTAAGAGATCAAAAATAATTGCCCAAAAGTAGACAAATTTTAAATAGCTGTAACTTTGTGTCAAAAAATGAGAATTTAAATTTTTAAACAGAATTTTAAAGCTACAAATCTCTATTTTCGAAAGATCATAGCCTTTTTTATTTTCTTCAATTCTGATATTTTTTACATACAAAAAATGACGAATATAACGAAATGGAAAATTTCCTTTTCACTTTGTAGATATGATAAATTAAAAAAAAAAACGATTTTACGGGGAAAACTTTAGGTTTTAATGTGAAAATATCAAAAAATTATTTTAAATCTTCTTGTGTATTGCAACATATTTACAAAAAGTAAAAAGACAATTTTTCATTTTGTTATGTTCGTCGTTTTCTGTATATAAAAAATATCAAAATTGAAGAAAATGAAAAAAGCTATGACCTTTTGAAAGTAGAGATTTCAAGCTTTAAAACGTCTTTTTTTATAATTTAAATTCTCATTTTTTGAAACAATAACTTACAACTATTTAAAATTTGCCTAGTTTTTGAAGAATTTTTTTTAATGCTTTAATTATTTTGAGAAGTGTAATTATACATATATAATATAAACTATACATAGCTGTAAAATGTTACGTATATAATATAATTAAATACATAATTAAAATATTATATATATGTATATATATATATATATATATATATATATATAATATATTAAAACTTATCAATTCTAATACCTGGAATCGCACGCCATCCTCACTTTCCAAAGTTAACTTGAACGATTTCCAATTAAAGGTCGCTCGCTTTCTGTAAGCATCTAATGGTCCCTTGGGCAAGTCCTTAATTAAATTATCGGCGGTGGACATTGCGTGTTTCTCTCTTTGAAACTATAATTGCAACATATTTTATAAATAACGACTATAAGAAAATATTAAAAATAAATATTAAAAGTAATAAATATAGATAAAATTAATAAAAATAATAAATAATAAATAGATAAATTATACACGAAAAGAGAAAAATTTAGATCAAATCTAGGCTTAATAATTAAAAATTGTTTTTACGTCATTGACATTTAGCTTTAAAAATTTTGATAGAGTTTATTAGTTTGCTTGGTTAAATAGATATAACAAAATAATTTATAATCGAATTAAAAGTCATACATATATAAGAGATACACTATTACTATTAGATCATAAAATCAAATCGACCATAAAAAAACATAAAACACGAAAAAAATCACTTAAAAAGTTCATTAATAAACATCAAGCTTCAATCGTAAAATATGTAAATTGTAGAGATGAAAAGAAATAATTATTGTGCTTTTTATGGATCATATAACGTATTTTTTTGCAGAGATAAAATAATGAATATAAATCTCGAAAAAAAACACATTTTGTATTCAGATCAGATGACTCATCAAACTTGAATGATAAGGCAAAATGCTAGGAAATAAAATAGTGATTTTCTGATTTTTTTTGAGTAATAAATTATATTGAATGCATAGAAATAAGAAAACAAAGAAAGAGTAATTACGACAATTATTTCATAGCGCACTTAAAGGGATCCCTCACGATTTTTGTTTTATCGACGCAGTCATATATTTTCGTACTTTTAGTATATTTTCTTTTTTTAAATGTGATATAATTAAAAATGCTTCTCTACGATTGCAATACATGCATCAATAATCCCAGGAAAATTCGATTTGATATATAAAAAATGAGAAATAATAGTTTTTATTTATATTTTTATCTCGATTTGACATCTCGAATTGCAGATGAACTGTCAACTTCATCATAATATGTACTTTATATAAAACATATGCACTTTATACGAATAAAAATGCACATTCCCTGGGATTAGAAGACACGAAAGAAAGTACTTATACTCTAAACTTAGATTAGAAGCCCAGTGAGAAATGATGGTCGAATCGACGTCGATTCGTTGTCGAATCGATGTCAAATTCGTCGAATCGATGTCCAATCGATGACAATTCGACCAATCATTTCTCACTGGGAGTCTAATAAAAATTTGTAATTAGAAATACGATTTATACGTGTGTGTGCGTGCATTGTGTATACTTGTATATTTGGATATATGTGCTGCTATTTTGTCGGTGTTTGTCATTTGCTGAGGAATTCCCTTAAAGTTAGAATAATTTTAAAGTTTTGGATAAAAATTTGGAGGTAGCTTATATAATTATTTTAGGTAATTATTTATATATTTGTCAAAATGTTGATGACAGAGAGATTTTATCTAAATATATATAATAATTATATAATAAATGGTAATACTAATTATATAATCGCAAATCTGCAACGTGAATTTTCTTATCAAGAAATATTCTAACTATTCTAATGGATAAAATAATTTATTTAGCAAAATAAGGCAATTTGTTTCGACTTTTATTGAACTACATTAATCTGACATATTTAAGGTAGATCGGATATGCGCAAGCTTATCGACAATCACATGTTGCATAAATAAAAGTAATTGTCTGCAAATGAGATTGTTAACAATTTATATCAGGAAAGAGCGCAAAGAGATCGATAGTTCGATACGAACGAAAGTTTCAAATGTGACTAACAAAAGCCAGGAGTGAGAACACAAGTATTTCGACATGCATTTCGAGATTACGACAGTAATTGTTATTCTTTTTTCGCAATTTATCCACGCCGTCAACGAAAGGTAAGATAATTCGTGTGTAAAATAATTGTGTGTCTGAGCAAAAAAGTTTACTTTTGAATGTAAAAAAAAAAATTAAAAAGTGAAGAAAAAAAAAGCTTTTAGCTTTTGAATCAAATCATTATCGAGGAAAAATTAATATTTTTTTTAAATTATAAAAATTGTGCCTTTTATTCAATTAATATGTAAATATTAAAAAAATAATTATTAAAAAGTAACAAAAAATAATTTGGAATCAAATTATTATTGAGAAAAAAATTAATCTATGTTATTTAAATAGCGTTACTACCCAAGAGGAACAGAAAAGTCAAAATGATGTCAATTTGACCTTCTGTTCTTCTTCTGACAAATTTTTATTTTTATTTCTTTATATATCCGAGAAAAAAAACAAGAGATTTCATTAAATCAAAAGTAAAGCAAAAAAATCTGTCCTATTTATATCTTACAATAATTCATCCATATATTAACTATAATTATATAAATAGTTAATTTGTATTCGTCAATATTAATTTATTCAAATTACTTACCCCGTATAAATTCGGTGTTATAATTACTAATTACAGTTTATAAAATATAGATGTTGTCTAGTGTGTCACTTGATTCTGAGATTACAGAGTCTGCAGATCGATAAAGTGTATTCTGTACTAAAAATCCGTGGTCCCTATGCGGGCGTCTGCAAATAAACTGCTTCTCTAATTTTACAGGAACAATTTCGGACGACTACATCGATGCGCGCGCGAGATAGACAATCTGAAATTGGTGCTCGAGCGAATCATAGAGGAAATCGCGGCGCGTAGCAACTGCATAAATTTTATTACTGATACCACTTATCGCGGACTCGTTGATGCCCGTTCTATTGAAATATCTCATCCTTTTGTATCAAAATATGATGTAAGTGACAGCATTATTCGCGCGCGATTATTTGAATCAGAAGCTCCATTTTCGCGCCAAAAATTCAAGCGCTTGTAATTATTAAGTAAATAACTTTAATAAGAAAATAACTAAATAAGTTAAATATAACTACTTCAATTTGACATATTTTATATACCGGGTCATCGAAAAGTATCGGACCCCCCTAATATCTTTAGTTAGAATGCATTTTGAAGAAAATGTCCAATAGCAAAGTTGTATGGTTTCAAGCGGGGAGTAAGATGAATGACCTTGACTTTGACCTTGACCATGTCCTTCAAGATCATTTCAAGGTCAACCTAATTTTTGTAAATGGAATCCCCTACATTTTATTGCATATTATTATATAAATTCTTATATAAATTTTTTATTTGACAATAAGATGGTTCTGTCCACTAAATTATTTATGCAGTTAATTTTATTTTTAATCGGTCAAATAAAAAATTTCATAATGATAATATTAATATAGTAAAACAGATTTTAACTAATAATAAATTTCCATTACTTACCATTAATAAATATATCAAAAAAGACTACAATTTTTAAAAAATAAGAACTCCAATAATAATAGCAAGGAAAATAGTAATATTAATAACTTAAATGATCGTACATACATTGTGTTACCATACATGGGAAATTTCAGCGACAACATCTCTAAATCGCTTAAAAAAAAGGACTAAGAGTGGTATATAAATTACAGAAAAAACTAAGTAGCCTTATCAAAAGAGATAAGGATACCACTCCTAAATTAAATAAAACAAATGTCGTTTATAGATTGAAATGTTTCTTACATAGGATAAACAAAGAGACATCTAAATATTCGCATAAAGGAACACCAGAACAACATTAAAAAGCCTGAATCGAATCTGTCAGTTGTTAGCAAACATAGAATAGAATCACGATTTCCGGTGGCTTGACCCTTGTATTTTACATACTGAAAAACATAGACGTAAAAGAGAGATTGCTGAATTGTTATATATTAAAAAGCAAACAAACACAATCAATTTTCAAACTGACACAATCTCAACTCTGTTTATGATAAGATCATTGGAATAATTTAGCGTCTTGTATTAGTAGTTGACAGAATGTCTTAGCGACATGTTAAAGTTCACAGCGCTTAACATATCATAATTTATATTTCTATATCTTAATGTGGCTTATTCAAATTGTTTTAAGTAAGTACATTGTTGTCTCTCCTTGCACGAATTGACTTGTATTTAGTTTTAGTTTTGCGTCGCTAACTATTGATTTTTTATAATTTTAGCACTTGAAAAAAACCTAAATTTAAGGTCGTGTACTTCATATCTAATAAAGACGAATAATATTAATAAGAGCCAGTATGGTCGAACTAATCATTAATTTCCTTATTATTTTTTAATGAAAAAATGTTTTATTGTTGTATGTTATATGTTATGTTCGTGGTCATATGACAAAAGTATTATAAAACCGCACGACATAGTTTGCACGACGAAGTTGTTATTTTTAGCTGGGAATCGTCAATTTGTGACTATGTCATTCCACTATCAATGTTAATAAAAAATCGATCAAGAGAGAAAGGAAAAAGAAAGATGTTAAAATGATCAGAGATTACTTACATGATAAAAAGTTAAACAGAAGTTTTTTAATAGATAATGTATTTAAAGTTGTCATGAGCTTCTTATTGTTGCGGCGTTTAGAACATGACTAATCTTATTTTTAATGTTGAATTATATAACAAAAAAGGTGAAGCTTTATAAACAATGTACATAAATTTAAACGATTTAAATATTTCCTCCGGCTAAAAGCAATGTCAACAATAGTTTTGAATTGTATGGCACACTCTCTGGTAAAAAAAATTGATACGTCGGATATTTTGGTGTTTTTGGATATGATATCGTTATTTATATATAGCAACTTTCCTTTAAATCTTGCAATTGACAGCATAAATAATAGATGACGGACTACATTAAAAAACACAGTAATTTGAAAAAGTGAATTTATTCTAATCATCAAACTTATTTTGACATCTACGTATTTTATCTTTAATGACAACATTTATAAGCAGATATATGGGACTCCTATGAAAAACATGTTGATGAAATATCGATATCTAAACAGTCCCAGCAAACACAGTATATAAATGTTATATACTTAAGTATGTTACATGTAACGTATATGTTAGTTGTAATTTCCCACTCATAGATGTAACATTTTTAATATTACATATATTACATTGTAGTTATATTGTCATTATATCCCAAGATAGCACTGACTTATCAATACATCAATGTGCTATTTGATATATAATTTCAATATAACAACAATGTAATATATGTTATATTAAAATGTTACATCTATGAGTGGGAAATTACAACTAACATGAATGTTACATGTAACGTACACGTTATATTACCTGTTATATTCTGTTTTATTATAGCAATGTAACAATTATATATCGGTGTTTGCTGGGGTTATATTGCAAAGACTTACATCAAGTCATATATATATATCTCATGAAAAAAATCTGACAATCAAATCGTTTCTTTTGTTTAGTATATCGGCAAATTGGATTGCGTCCGTAAAAAATTTTTTTGATATGTTTATTATTTACTATGGGGAAAACACTGTGTTTATTTTACAAAATTGAAAAAAGAAAATATAAGGGAAAAATTATCAAATTAGATGTGTGAACAGACTGCATGGTTACTTACATTATATGCTGTACGTTAATAACACTCAGGAACGTTCTGTATCTGTCGTGTCTCGATTTGATATTGAGTGGAAAAGGGGACCAAACATATATATATATATATATATATATATATATATATATATATATGTGGATGAGTGTAAGTAAGAAAGGGGAAAGGGAAGTTGCCTTATATTACTCTCCCTCCAATCTTTTCATGATTTGTATGTAATAATCGGGTAATTTTTCTGTGTCTGTTTGTTTGTTGATACCTCTCTGTTGTTTTTTTTATATAAATCATCTCGGATGTCAACCTCATACAATAGGAAGGCTCCTCATCTAAGATCTTAACGTTTTTCCAATCAAAATTATGGTTGAAATTGCTCATGTGTTTGCTGATTACTGATTGCGGATTGTAATTTTTTTATGTTCTTTAATTCTAATTGTGAGTTGACATTTAGTTTGTCCTATATATGTAGCGTATTGAGAACAATTTATTTTATACACTACATTACTATGTGTAAATTTATTAAGTTTATCTTTGTGTACTTTAATGTATTTATTTAATTTATTGATTGAATAAAACCTTGCGTGGAATTTTTGTGCAAACTGTTTGATTTGTTTAGAATGTGCATGTTTTTTAACTAATTTTATGTTGGACTTGTTAAAAATATTTCTTGACTTAATATAAAAAAATGTTCGTTGGTTGTTCAAAATGTAATTTAAATGTTTAGGGAACACGTTGTTGACTTTACAATTGTTTAAAAAATAATCCTTAATCTAAGTGAAATACTTAATTTAGTTTGATCCAGTGTTTCAACAGTTTGTCAGAAAAAAATCCAAATGTCAAGTAAAGCATATTAAAGTATTCAATGTTGTTCCGTATTTTTTTAGCTAGCGGTGTAAAACAGATAATTGAATATAGGATAATTGAATAACACATAATTAACTAGTTATTACCCTACCCTGCTTTATTATCATACGATAATTAAATGTCTTCTTCTTAGTTATATTAAATTTATAATTCAGATTCGATTCAGATTTGATAATAAAGTTAATAATTTTTTTAAATTAATAATTTTTGAAATAAATATTTATCTTTCGTATTGTTTATCTTCAGATCGCCGTGCGCGATAACCAAAATTTTTCGCGCTCGAGGAAATTGACGGGAATACTTGAGCATATCAAAGCTATAGGTTGTGACTCGTATGTTATACTATTTGCCAATGGTTTGTTAACGTCGCGATTCTTGCAATATGTTGAAAGGTAAGCAATCAACAAACAAGACCAGAGGGCAGATTTATATAACAATTTATTATATAAAAAATTATTAAGACTAGATATTGTCGAAAAATGAATATTTTATGAGATATTTCATAGTGTAAAATTACGTCAAATTAAAGTATTGTACAAAATACCTCATAAACTATTCATTTTTTGGTTCTATTTTATAACTCTGTTGTGTCAAATATTGCGCCAAATCAATTTATATAAAAAATTGAAGTGGTTCCATTAAAAAAAAGAAATAGATTGACCTTCAAACAATTTTGAAATTCAATATTATCAATTTCTTTGCCCTCAAAAATTATTTTTCGAAATATATAACTATTCAAAACATTGTTTTTAGACATGATATTTAAAAAAAATGCAGTATTTTGTATATGATAAATATATATATATATATATATATATATATATATATATATATTAGAGTGGTCGTTAAATTGAACATTATGTTGGATGGTCATAAATCAGCTCCAAATGTAGAAAAAATAATTCTCTAATTTTTTCAGATTTTTATTTTCAGCCTTGAGTCACCCTGTTTACACGTGTTATGTTATATATATATTCTTATATCAGTTCATTTATTTATTCATTTATATGTTATTTAAATATTATTTATATATTTTTTATAATTTGAAAAAATACTTAATTTTTTTACTTCAGTTCTAGATGGAGTCAGCTGCAAAAGTAGTGAACACAATTATTTAATTTTTCATAAAAGATAGTCATAAATATTATATGGGCTATTCTGCTAATTATATTATTTAACTATTTTATATTATTTTATACTATATTTTCGGTATTTTCAAATAGTTTCAACTTTTTTTCACTAAAATTTCAAACTATTTACAACAAAAATTGATGATAGAAGCAGCTGCAGAATTGTGGTATTAATAAAATTATTAATAAAATTACATGCCAACAGGGAGACTCAGGACTCAAAATAAAAATCTGAAAAAATTAGAGATTTTTTTTTCTACATTTAGAGCTGATTTACGACCATCCAACATTAAAATTTTGAAAAAACCTATATAACGACCACCCTAATATATATATATATATATATATATATATATATATATATCTCGTATATATATATATATGTATAATTTCATTTTTATGGTGTTTCTTTCGCATTTCTTATGTCGCATGCGATTTTTGCAGGGAGCGTCTGATTAACACACGCGGTTACTTTTTACTTCTGCACGATAATCGGCTCTTTAGACCGGAATTGCATTATATCTGGAACCGAATCATTAACGTGGTGTTTGTACGGCGATACAACACGTACAAGTATCGTTCCGGCGAGCAAATCGCTTCTGAGCGAATCGATCTCAACACCGTTTACTACCCATCGCCCACGAGGGATTTCACGGCGATCAGGTACATCGACACCTGGCGTGACGGCAAATTACGTTACGGTAACGATCACTATGTGTCAAAAACCACGGATCTTCACGGCAACGGTTTGCGGTTAGTAATACTTGAGTACACAGTTGGAAATTTTTATTGTTAAAATTTTCTTGTTAAATACTTAACACGTTTTATGTGCAGGGTTGAGAAGTAATGCGTTACTTAAAATTGTAACTTAAAAAATTTCAACAATTACAGTTACATTTTTTTTAGTAACTACAACTTAACTTCGTTCTATTTTCTGCATCTATAACTGTAACTTAACTTAGTTATATTTTTTTTGGTAATTATAGTAACTAATTTAATAGTTAGTTTATTTCAAACTTAGGGCTAACAATTTTTCAGAAAGTTACTGTCTAATATTTTATGAATTTTTTAACTGAAAAATCTGAACTCGATAATTTTTATTAATATTATTTATTGTATTAGAATAAGAAATTAATTGATTACAAATATAAAAAAAGGAAAGGAATACTATATAAAACAAAAGCCATCTATAACGAGCAAAACAATTACGATGTCACATTATTAAAATATTAAAACATTTATTAATATTATATACTTAAATAAAATTAAATTTAATTTACATATACATATACGTTTCGACTGCACGGCAGTCTTTCTCAATATAATACAATGTTAATTGATAATATACATTATATAATTTACATTAAGCCTCAGATTTGGTCAAAACATATTTAATTTTCTATCGATTAATTAACGCAGATTTCTATTCGTCTATACTCTCGCTTTTATTATTGACATCTTTGTTAAGAAAAATTTTTTTACAATTATCATTTTGGATTTTACAATAATATTAGAAAGCAGAAGTCGTTACAGTATACTCTTTCGTTGTCCATCTTTTTATTACTAAATGTTTTCGAATTATGATCAGGAGTCGATAAAAGTTCCGTAATTTATTCTGGCTATCAAAATATAATTTTTCTTATAACAAATCATTTTTATTCTTTTTAATACGCAATGTTATTGATGTGTTATTCTGATCAACTCATAAACGATACTCTTATCTAATTTAACACAAATTTTTAATCTGGGTAATATTATAATAGATTATTTTTTCCTTGAGATAGAAATCTAAGAAAAAGAAAAGAGGAAAATTAATACATTATTTATTCTTTACTTTTTTTACAATTTACTTTTTAAATAAAAAATTTGAAGATATAATATATATCTAAGATAAAAAGATAAATTTAGTGCAGACTTTAAAAATAAAATATTTACGGTGTATATCGATTTTTTTATTATATAACATATTTAAAAGCAAAATATTATTGTAATTGGAATGGAAAGTGTATTTATTTTAATATTAGTTTAATTTTCGGCAAAAAATTACAGAGTTGCAGTTTTCGAACATATACCAGCTGTGACCGAAGCATCACGAAATCACTATGAAGAAGGCACAATTGCAGACTCTAAAGCTTTGGGTATCGAATTTGAAGTACGTATTAGAGTCAGAAAAGAATACTAGAGCTTTACAAAAAGATTAACATTAAATAAATTAATTAAAATAAAATAATTTTAATTAAAATAAAATAATTTTAATTAATAAGAAAAATAATCTCAGAAATAAATATTTTTATCGGCTCTCAATATAAAGAATATAAGTATGCTGCCTTCTAAGCCGGGCAATAGAGCCAAGGAAACGAAACGAAAAATTAATTAAACGGAACTGTATCTCAATTTGAGATCCCAAAGTTCCACATATAAATTAATTTCGAAACTTACATATGGAGAAATTTAATTAATTTTTCGTTTCGTTTCCTTGGCTCTATTGCCCGGCTTAGAAGGCAGCATACTTATATTCTTTATATTGAGAGCCGATAAAAATATTTATTTCTGAGTTTATTCACGCCTGGGCTAATCACGGCGGTATTTACTAACATCTACTTAAAAGGCAAATGAAAAATATGGGATCGAAAGGGTCTGAATAGCTTAGTTGGTAAGAGCAGTCGCCCGGAAAGTGAAAGACGCGGGTTCGATTCCCGCTTCAGCGACTTTTCGGACCTATATTTTTCTCGCTTATTTCTCCATATGTAAGTTTCGAAATTAATTTATATGTGGAACTTTGGGATCTCAAATTGAGATACAGTTCCGTTTAATTAATTTTTCGTTTCGTTTCCTTGGCTCTATTGCCCGGCTTAGAAGGCAGCATACTTAAGAAAAATAATATTATCTCATAAAAATATGTTAAAATAAATTAAATTAAATAGCGTATTAAATATTAATTTTGTTTAGATTACACAATAGTACAAATCAATTTAAAATAATTCAAATGAGTAAATTTCACTATACTTGACAACATTTCAAAAATAATTTCAAATGTGTCCAGATAATACAAAAGTATATATTTTTTTTCAGTCGTTCTTTTCATTTCTTTACTATATGTTATTACAGAATTAACGTTTTAGAAATTGGAATCGGTGTTTACGAATTTTTATTTATATATTGTTTCAGTTAATCCGAATCATATCAAAGGCAATGAACTTTAAAACAGACTATTATATGCCTCTTAATATCGCGAGCGATAAATGGGGTAAAGCGGGTGAAAATGATAGCTATACAGGTCTCCTTGGAGAAGCAATCAATGGAAACGCCGATTTCTATCTCGGTGATCTGCATTATACGCTACATAATCTGAATTATTTTGATCTATCCACGCCATACAATACGCAATGTCTCACCTTTTTAACGCCAGAATCGCTGACCGATAATTCGTGGAAATTATTGATATTGCCCTTCAGGTACGTAGATACACATCTATATGTCATATCTAAAGAAAAATTATTTTTTTGAAAACCATAGTAGAAGATTGAATCATTACATTAAATAAAAATAAAGAAAAAAAATTTACAAAAATAAAAAATAGATAAAACTTTAATATTATGTTTTTTTAAATTTTATTTAATATTATTTTGTTTTATTTAATATTTTATTAATTTTATTAAATATTACTTATTTAAAAAAATTAATTAATTTTAATATTATGTTTTTAATTTAATTGTATATTATTTTATTTTTTATTTAATGTTATTTATTTTAATTTATTTAAATTTATGTATCTAATTATTAAATAAATAAATAAAAATAAAATAATTTATAATAAAATAAATTATTTTTTGTCAAAAAAGATTCTAAAAGGGTTAGCAACCCTTGATTAATATTATCGCAGTACTGCTTGTCGGAATTTCATGCTCAGAATTGCAACTTTTGCAGGCTGAATGCATGGATAGCGGTGATTTGCACCCTGTTGATAGGCGGCGGAGGTCTCCACGTGTTTGCGTTGCTCTACCAGAAGTATATAAGCTCGCGTATGCGTCCTAAATTAGACGCGGCAAACGCGTACGATGGCACAAAGGGTCTGTATCTGTTCACTGAATTCCAGAACAGCATGCTGTACACATACGGTATGTTGCTTCAGGTGTCTTTGCCGCGCTTGCCGAACAGCTGGACCGTGAGAATCTTCATCGGCTGGTGGTGGATCTACAGCATCCTGGTGACAGTTATTTATCGCGCTAGTATGACGGCCACCCTCTCGCATCCCGTCGCTGTGTATAGTATACATATACAATAATTATAATATATAGGATGAAAAAATTGGACCGACAAAGAAATGAAAATTATAGAAAAATTAAAAATTGGAAATAAATTTAATTAAATAATAGTAATATTATTATTATTAATTATTTAATTAAATTAATTTTAAATTAAAAATAAGAAATTAGACCGACAAACATTGAAGGGAAAAAGAAGCAAACTGAACATTTTTTTGGTCAAATTGTTAATTTTCGCAATGACAGTTGCTTGATGCTATGACCATAATTTTAATTTGCCGAATTTTTATTATGTACATAATATTTAATTTGCGAAATTTCTATTATATACATAATTTTAAATCCCGAATTTTCATTATGCGTATAATTTTAATTTATTGAATTTCTATTATGTACATAACTTTAATTTGCTGAATTTCTGTTGTATTGTTTGAGAACTATTTTGTATATATACATATATGTATCTCTTTATATATATTTTTCTCATTTTATTAAGTTCAATCGAATATAATTATGTGCGCAAAGCGAAGTTAGTATTGCTTGATAATAAAAATTACAACGCATGTATAAAATTATTATTGCAATCAATGCATAAAAATATTTTAATGAATTATGCAACGCATAAAAATTTATTATTTAAATCTTTAACAGAAAATACGAACAAATAAAATTTTCTACAAGAATCTTTTGTGATCAAATATCTACGCTTTTATTAAACTCGCACGAGACTTCATATCCCATACGTCCATCACGCTGCGCGGTTCGCGCGAGACTGATTCTCGTGCGAGCGCGGGACCGATGGTCACGTGATCTCGGTTTCGCGATACCTCGCACATGGGTCTTGCGCGAATCTAATGAAAGCGTAGATATTTGATCACAAGATTCTTATAGAAAATTTTATCTCTTTGTTCGTATTTTCTATCAAAGATTTAAATATTGAATTTTTAAGCGTTGCATAATTAATTAATATAATATATTTTTTATGATTACAATAATAATTTTTGCATGCATGCGTCACAATTTTTGAGCTTTATTATCAAAGAATTATATAATTATTTCGCTTTACATGTGTAATTATATTCGGTCAGATTAAACAAAATGATATATATATATATATATATATATATATATATATATATAATATATGCTATATAAATTTAGTATTTATAAGCAGATTTCTTAATACAGTATAATAGGAAGTTACAAGTAAAAGTATAATTGTGTCGACTCATAAATCAAACTCAGTTTTGTTATCAAGTTTAATTATGATAGCAAATTATTGTTAGTATATAGTAAACTGATAGTAGAATATACTAATACAAATTTGAGAAATACAATTCAATAATTTTCATTAGAAAATAATAGAATTGATGCTACAATATATTGTATTATAAACAGTGTTATATTTTAATTTTATATTCTATTATATATTTTATATTTTAATTTTAATTCTCAAATGTCTATTACGTACATAATTTTAATTTGCCATATTTTAATTATGTATATAATTTTAATTTCTGAAATTTTGTTATGTAGCAGACAACACAAGCGCGCTCTTCGCGCGCGTTATTGATATTATTTTTATTTTTTATTTTACAACTGTCAAATTTTCAGACCTTTACGATGGCAATTGTTTGATGCTATTAATATAACACACAATGTTAATCGAGACAACCAATCAGCATCGCGGATAAACAGCAACAATATTTGCGATAATCGACTTCGCATGTCTTTTTTAGAAAGGGAACCAGAATTTCTGGGCTCCCAAGGTTTTCTTGTCAGATATCATGTATTTTTCTCAGATATGTATGTTTCGATTTTACATAGTGAATCTCTATTTTACTTACTCATTACAGAGTAACTATCGATACTTTGGCGCAGCTGACAAGATTGTTGCTGGCAGTAGGCGGTTGGGATGAGGAAAGCAAGGAGTTTTTCCTCGCTTCTTCGGATCCGCATAGTCAGGAAATCGGCAACAAGTTTGAGCTGATCGAGAACGAGGAAGAAGCTGTCGACCGAGTGGCTAATGGGACCTTTTGCTATTACGAGAACTCGTATTTATTGCGATACATTCGCGGAAAACGGATATTCGAGGAGCAGAACGATCGGAGAAACAAAAGCGAAAGAGACACCGGCTCGGCGGTGAAGTACAATTTGCATATTATGGAGGAATGCGTCGTCCACATGCCGATCGCGTTAGGACTGGAAAAGAATTCTCCCTTAAAGCCTCATGTGGATTTATGGGTATTTTTCTTCATTTCTACTTGCAAAATTTCGAGATCTTAAGAAAAAAAATTTTTGCAATATTTTTGAGAAAAATTCTTCTGATTAATTGTAAGTATAAGCACCGACAATATAATACCTCGTTGGTGATATAAGTATGGAAATTCAAAATTATCTAATTTATTATACATTTTATATGGAGATGTCATCGACATGATATTTAAATATATTTTAATATAAACAATATTTAATATTTTTCAATATATAATACTTTTTAATTAATATTTAATATAAGAAATGTTTAAAAACTAATTAAATTTTATGTATATATATAACTCGGATTTATAATAGTGTAAAAAAAGTAACGAATAGTTATTTTTTTTAGTAAGAATAATGTAGTAACGAGCTACTTTTTAAAATTGGTAACAATTTAAGTAACGATAATAATGAGAGCTACTTTTATAGAAGTTCCATCCACTTTTCCAACTTTACACAGTAAGAAAATTTGTGTTTTCCTGTTAAAAATGGTCCCCGTTAACATTTTTGTGTTAAATATGTAACAAATTCAATTTGTGTCAATTTAACATATTACTGTTGTGTTAATTGAACTTAAATGTTAAAATATTAAGACAACTAAAAAAAAGATGTAAAAATAACACTATGCATCTATGTTTAATTTCACACAATAAATATGTTCTGTTTTATTAGTGACAAGTTTTATCCGTTAAAATTTATAGAAAAATATTGATTTTTTATTTTATAATAAAGTGGGGATAATAAAATCTAAAATCAACATATATTTTTAATTAATTTTTAGATTAAAGTTATATGTTAACTTCACACAAAATTTATTTTAAATTATTTAAAATTTTGCATTTATTTTGTGTTAAAGTATTAACGCAGTTTTTTTGTGTCTCTATATTATGTTAAATTAACACAAAAAAATTTCTGTGGACTGTTTGGGACATATATACATATATATATATGATATCTGTTTTTAACAGAAATTTTTCAACTGTTTTAATGACTCAATGAAGATTATGTCTTTTTCATTGCCTTTTACGTCGTTCATACACAAGCACACCGTTTTCGTACATCGGAGATTTATTTAGCATGAAATTCTCATATATATTCTAGGTGAGACGGATGACGGAAATTGGTTTGGTGCAAAAATGGCTGAGCGACGTAATGGAATGGGCCAAGATTAACGAATCTCGACAAAAATCGGAGTCTGAAGCAGCTCTGATGGATTTGCGCAAATTGTATGGCGCACTCATTGCCCTGGGAATCGGTTATTTTCTCGGTTTCGTAGCTTTATTTGGCGAAATAATATATTGGAGATACGTTGTCCTGAGAGATCCCAACTACGATAAATATCATCTGGATATATTTTATAAGCACGATAAATCTAATAAGACTTGAGCGACAATTTTGATCTTTATTCTGTAGTGTAAACAAAAATATTAAAAAGAATATATATAAAGAAAAGATTCGTGGATTATTTATTTTTTTAATAGCAGATGAGTGAAATATCACACAATATATAAAACAAAAAATATTGATAATAATAAAGAAAGGTAATTATAATATATATATTGAAAGAAATCTTTTAGTTTTGCCGAAACTTTACAATAATATATTGTCTATTTTTATACGTAAAACAAGAATCACATTTATATTTTTAATTATTTATTATTTCTAATTATTATTATAGAGTGCGATTATTATATTTTATTTCTATTATTTATATTAATTTTTTTATATTATTTATTATTTTTAATAATAATAATAATATAATTATTATATTTATTTATATTATTTATATTTTTAATATTTTATTTCTATATATAAAAAATTTATAAAATTTTTATAAAATATAAAATAAAAAAAATTTTTTTAGACGAATTCTTTACTCATCTCTGACGCATTTTAATTACCATCATCCGTTCGTCATTTGAGTTTGGTTCTCCATCTGGCCGCAATATTTCTGAGAGGGCGTGAGAAAAGTAATATGGCTGCTTACATTGATTACGCTATGTCAATACTGTCAATGTTGACGCTATAGGTTAATTTAATATATTAGATTTATACATTAGTATATATAATATGTTAACATTAGTGCACAAATAATTAAATACGTTTTATACTTGTGCATAACTTTTATATTCGAAATTACTTTTTTGAAAGCTCTGAGCGTCTAAAAAATATTCTATATTTGTATTTAACCTACCTTTTATGCCGGTTTTATTGTAAATTACATCGCAATTAGCAGAATTCTTTATATGTATATATACTTATACATTATATATATGTTTTATATATCTATATGTATTTTTTAAATAATTATTAAATATATAATTTATATTAAACTCTACGAAATTTATATTATTTATTTATATTTATTAATACTATTGCAGGTTGCATTAATTTCATACAGTGTCATTGACTTATTTTTACATTTATGACTAGTAAAGAAATAATACTTGTTAATGGTGCCATGGAGAAAAAAGAAAATGTTGAAAAAAATGATGAGGAGGAAATAGCAAAGAATGCTGTCTTGGTACCCAGTGCTTCGCTACCAGCTGATACAGCTACAGTAAAAGGTCTTTATTTTTGTATATCTCTTTCCAGTAATAGTTATTATTACTATTATTCATTATTTACACATTCATATATTATTATAATAAATGATGACATTAATAAAATTTTATGCATGTCATATATAGGCTATGATTTTAATAAAGGACTCGACTATCATGAGTTATTTAAAACCATGATACATTGCGGATTCCAAGCTACAAATTTTGCACTAGCGATTGAAGAAGTGAATAGAATGCTGCATCGGAGAAGTGTACCTCTTGCGGAGGATCAGATCGACCAGATGGAAGAGGATGAATTCATTAAAAGAAAATCTCAGTGTACGATATTTCTGGGCTATACGTCAAATATGGTATCTAGTGGCATTAGAGAAATTATAAGATTTCTCGTGCAACATAAATTGGTAGGTCGTGCATTCAAGATTTATGCTTCTTATTCCAATGTCCTGTGTACTTTATGATTTTGAACAGTATGTTTGTAGGTAGATTGTCTCGTTACTACAGCAGGTGGAGTGGAAGAGGATTTTATAAAATGTTTAGCGCCCACATATATTGGCAGCTTTTATTTGGACGATAGGCAGCTTCGAGAGAAAGGACTTAACAGAACTGGAAATTTATTAGTACCAAATGACAATTATTGTCTATTTGAGGATTGGGCAATGCCGAAGTTGGATGCAATGCTGGCTGAGCAGAAGGAGAAGGTGTACAAAATACATTATATTCATATAAAAAGGTATAGATGTAGCAAAATGTGTGCTTTTATTTTTACCAAGTTGTATTTTTTTAGGGCACTTCATGGACGCCATCCAAGATGATAGCAAAACTTGGCGAGGAGATCAACCATGAAGATTCTATTTATTACTGGGCTGCGAGAAATAAAATTCCAGTGTTTTGTCCGGCTTTAACTGATGGAAGCCTCGGCGATATGATGTTTTTTCACACGTTAAAAAATCCAGGACTCGTACTCGATATAATTGCAGGTTGGGATGTGTAATAATATACTTATATATATATATATATATATATATATATATATATATTTATTTATTTATTATATATTAAATCTATATTTGTTTATGTAATTTTTATATACAATTTATTATATATATGTATACATTTATTATATTATAAATATATATTTTATTAAATATATATTTATTTATATAATATTTATATACAATTATGTATATATTTATTATATATATTTATTTAGAAATGTATATTTAAATATATATAACTATATATAAAAATATGTTTATTTAAATATGTATTTATTTAGAAATGTACAAGCAAATGAATATTTCTAATTTTCCACAGATGTCAAGAGATTAAACAGAATAGCTATGAAAGCGGTGAACAGTGGCATGATAATTGTTGGAGGTGGTGTAATAAAGCATCACATCTGTAATGCTAATCTTATGGTGAGACGACTCTTTTTGACTCGTTACTTAGGCGCATATATGATAATAATTTTCTTTTACAGAGAAACGGTGCGGATTATGCCGTTTTCATCAACACTTCTTCGGAATTTGACGGTAGCGACAGCGGTGCTCGACCCGAGGAGGCGATTTCATGGGGAAAAATTCGAAAAAATGCCACTCCGGTCAAGGTAACAGAATTAATTCATTGGCAATAATTTTTCAAATTGAATAAGAGCAATAATCAATCAAGTTGCCGAATAATGGCTTCTGTTTCAGGTGTGTGCTGATGCTACTTTGGTATTTCCGCTGTTAGTGGGAGAAACTTTCGGAAGATATTATCATTGTTCGAAGGACAATATCAGTAAAGACAGTGCTGCATGTAAATCAACTGCATAAAACATAATAAAGAGATTTATAACAAAATTGTATTATAAAATATGGTAATAATTCAATCGACTAACTCTGGCAAATAAGTGATTTTATTGAATATTCACAACGCTTCGGCCGTGAGTTTCGGCCCTTATCAAGTGCTATAATATAATATTAACAATTATAAAATTGTATTATACATATAATGTATATAATTTATGTTATATAATGTTTTAAAAATCACAATCGCGAGAAATAAATTATTTTTAGATATTTTTTAGATATTTATATATCTAAGAGTAACATAATCATCTATATTCACTTATATATATATTCTATAAATTATATACAAGAGAAAAGTTAGCAATAAAATATACTATTTAATTATCTGTTTGCTTATATTGTGACTTGTATATATAGTATATATAAATGTGGAATATATTTTTATTTATTATATTTATATAATCTAAGTAGAAACTGACGTCATTAAATATGTCAAATAACGTCAAATAATGTCAAAATAACGTCATTCGATATCAAAATGATGTTGGTTTGCTACTTAAAAAATTATAATATATACATATAATATTTATTATATATAGTTTAGAATTAATTATTATATAATATTTATTATATAAATTATATAATATATTTACAATTTTTTTTGTTGCATTGATGAAACAATCAATTTTAATAATTTGTTTCATACATTTGTTATATAAAACAAATTGGAAATGTACATAAATGTTTTGCCAAAAATCTTAGAAACTAGAAATTTAATTAAAAAAAAAAAATGAAATCTTACTGTCGAAAATAAAGTGACCCGGTCGTGCGCGCATTTCGTTCCGCTTAAAGGGATCCTGTTCGGGATCGAAAATTCGCGTTCCTCATCCGGTGTTCGATTTCGGGGAACGCGACGAGGCCTGCGCCTGCGCAATGTTGCCGTGGATGCGCAGCAGGTGTCTGCGGCGCAGGTTCGCCAGGCGTGAGGGGTGGCCGCGATAGTTTAGGGGATGGTAGCGCCACTCTCGTCAGTTGTTACCCGTAAGCCCGCGTTCGCGGACGACGGGCGTGTTTTAAGATCGTTAATCCTCCCCCGTCGTAAAAGAAATTCGCGACGGTCTCGAAATACTCCCTCGAAAAAAAACAATAAAATAAAAAAAGGTTCGCGCAGTTTTCCCGCGCGCGCGCGCGCGTGAAAACCGATTTGACAGTTCGTCGGCTGTCATCGTTGTCAACCCTCCCCCTCCCTCCCTCGACCTCCCTCGCGGGCTGTCGCATATATCTCGAAGCGGTGGTTGGTGTTGGTGGTGGTGGTGCTCGTCGTCATCATCGGCATGAACGATGATGGACGTGGAGGAGACCAACACGGCGTCCACAGCGAGTTCCTCGCCGAGACCCTCCAGCCCTGCCGCGGATTCCACTTTCATCAGGTAAGGGAGAAGGCTCCACCTCGAGGATACCCAAACGCGAAAATTCCAAAGTCCCGGATTCCAATGTGTCATTTTGCTCCAATACGCGAAAATGTATCCCTATATGTTATTTTTGACAATAATTCGCAGCAAACTCCACTCTGTATAATTATCGGATTAATGTATATACACGGGGTGTAATTATTATACATATAATTATGTGTAATTATTATACGTTAAATACGTATAGTTATTATAGGTTCCTAATAGCACAACATTGTCAGAGGATATTCAGAGGATATCCAGATGATATTCCAACATCCCCAGGATGTTCTTTGAACGTCTTCGGGATAGGTGTGCTGTTAGGGATGTAGATTGTTTAATTTATTTTTTCTCTGATACGCGAGTATCCCTATATATCATTTTTGACAATAATTCGCAGCAAACTTCACGCTGTATTATCGGATTAATAAAATTGAACTCGGATTTACGGAATTTATATATGTACATACACGGGGTGTAATTATTATACGTAATTATATGTATTTAATTATTATAGATGTAGATTGTTTAATTTGTTGCTAGTTTCTTAGTGAATTATTTGTTCAATGCTGTCATTTAACCTATTTTCTTGATTTTGAATATTCAGGGGATGAAGTAGACAACTTCATGAATGTAATAATATGTAGATGGACAGTATATACATCGAAAATTATAATAGAAAATTATAAATTATATATAAAAAAAAACCAATTTAATTTGTGTCTATTATATAAATAGATAGTATTTTTAATTTATCATATACTTGGCTTTAGTTTTGTCTCATATCTATTTTTACTTTTTATTCTTATATTTTTAAACTTTTTGTTGCATTGCAGAGTTGGGATTTGGGATATTTTTTTTATATCTCATATATATATATATATATATATATATATATATATAGGACATAAATAGGATATTATATGTACGTTTTGTGAATGAAATCTTACAATATTAATTCTTTTATGATACTCGACTGAATAATAGTACAAGTGTTTTAAATTTAAAACTTTTTATCGTTCCATTTTTATTTCTTTTCTACTAAAATCTATTATCCCTTTAATTAAGACAAGCCTGTCTCTCAGACACGGGTTTTCAGGACAGACAGCGTACGTGTTTCTCTACAAGTCCAAGTTAGTTAGACCAATTTGCTCGACTTTTTTTATTGACGATATACACTTCGACAGTAGTGTGACGTACACACGGCCTTCAGGAACAACTTAGTGTGTGACGTGAGCGATATTATATGGTTAGGCGGCGAGCCTCTGTATATAAGGTCTTATACAGATGGATCCGCGTATACATGTACTTCAGAGGATCGGGGTATACACGCACGGGCGCCGATTAATAATGCATACATTAAGTGCACCGCTCCACTCGCTCTCTAGCGTCCAGAGAGAAAGAGAGAGAGTCCGCTCCACCATTCTGTTGATTTAAAAATGCAAGTAGCGGAGCACAACGAGCTCTATCCGAGGCGCGCCGCCGTCAATATAACTCGATTTCTCTCGAGATATATCTCGAACCGTCTTCCTTTTCACGACAAGAATTGGAGAGTTGCTCCAGAATTTATGCATACATATATACATATGTATGTTAACCAGATGATTATCTATTATCGGTATTCTATTTTTATATCTGAACAAGTGTTGTGCTTAGATGATTTTAAAATTAGCTATATAGATAAAGATGAGATAAAAATATCTAGATAAAAGATACAATTATATGGAGATTCATCTAGATAACTCTTCTAGATATAATATTATTTTTGAGACTGCTTATGTAAACACAGTTATAAAAAAATGGAAATTATAAAAGGGATATAAAAATATATTTATATTTTTATTTTGTAAGTTTCTATTGCTTACTGTTTAAGTTCTGCTACTTAATAATATTAATATTTAAGTATTTTTATGTGCTATGACTCTAAACCAAATTATCTGGACATTATTCTAGATAATTTAATAAAGATAATAACACATTTAATAACACTTTTTTCATCTAAGATATAGATAATACATATTTTCATTATCTATATAAAGATAAGATGACGCCAAAACTTCATCTAGATTATCATCTATATAATTTTATTTAGATAACAACAAACACTGCATATAAATATATATGTTGGAATTTAGAATATATATACATGTAAGATTATATTGCCTTTAATTTTCTCGCTTTTAAGATTTATGTCTGGTATAATATATATAATAATTCCAATATATTTTATATATTTAGAATATCCAATATATATTATACGTATATATTTATAGAAAGATAAAAAGTATATGTTTTAATTTGTAACAAGTTTTTTTTTTAAATCAATTGTGTATTTTCTTTATACCAATTTATTTGTTTCATTATTCTGCCCATAAAAGTATTATAATGTAAAATTACCGAAAATTGAATGTTTTATATTTTGTATTTTATGTCAAAATACTCCAAATTTCAAGTATTATAATTCGAGAAGCATTGATCAAATATTTTGAAAAATTCTCAAAATAAAAACAATAATATGCATTGAAAAATAGGGGTTTCCATTTAAAAATTTGAAAGTGTACTTCATGTGACCTTCAAACGACTATCCAAGGTCAAACCAATGATATCATCTTATGTCTCCCTCAAAGTTAATAAACTTTTTGGTATGAAACACTTTTCCGTATTCTTCATATTTTTTTCAGATATTTGCCTGATGAGTCATTTAAAATGGGACATCTTGTATATGTACATGTGAAAAATAGACGTAAATCTTAAAATTGAGAAAATTAAATTCAGATCAAGTTTCAGATTTCTCGTGTGAATTGGATTATTTATGTTTCGTTTTATTGGAGATAATGTAAATTCGGAGCTCGAAATCTGATATGTAAAAATGATTTGTGACAAGTCGGAAATTGAATTTACAAAAAATTAATTAAATTATCGTGCACAAATTGACTTTGACCGAAATTATAGTGTCTCTCAATTCTCGCATTTTCAATTTACGATACTTTTTTGAATGAGATAGGCGAAAGGACTACGCGCATTTGTTTTACTAAGATCATGTGAGAAAGAGTGCGGCTCAATTTTTTCCCTTTTTCCCACTACCTTTACGTGAGTTAAATGATGGCTTAAATAAAAGACTTTTATGAGCAATAGATTAACCTTAAAAAATATATCAAAGCGAGTAAACGGTTCAGAGAAATAAGTGATTCAATAAGCTATTAGCAACAAATGGTGACACTTAAAATTAGAATAAAACAAATAAAAAAAACTAAATAAATAAAATAAATAAAAAATAAATAAAAAAAAATATAAATTTGAACAAACATGTGTTCAAATAATTTTTATATTTCTAATTTTTTTCTTTTGTTTAGTTTGTTCTAATGAATTTTTATTTACATATTTTAATAAAAATTTCAATGTTACTTTTGTTCGATTTGTAGTAATTTTAAGTGCCATTTGCTGATAATGAATTTTTTTATTTCTTTGCTTGTCTCAACATAATAATAATATTTATCTTCCCTTAATTAATATTTCTCTTCTCTTAAATCATAAATAAGCCATCATTTAGTTAAATTGGAGGTGTTGAAAACAGAGAAAGTTTTTCTATGGAAATTTGTC